GGAAGATTGACCCGTGAACATTTAAACGTAAGAATTAGAGAGTGAAACCCAAGGGAAACTACGGGAACTACGTTAGTCAAGGAACCGCCCACCAGGAATCTGAATCTGCACACGATCACGTGGCCCCCGTCGATCACACCCACCTTCACCGACCTTCGCCGAACCTCTATGACCTTTATGTCTACCGATGGACCTTCAGTAGCTCCAGACGCCGAAATCCATCGCCCATGGTCAGATTTTGGAGAACAGAAAACGATCGGATCGGTTGCGAGATCGGCGGAGAATCGTGCGACAACATTGACGTCACGCGCTCTCCGAGAAAAGTGGACACCTGTCTACAAAAGGACAGGTACATTCCAGGTACCGGCGAACAAAGGCATCAGATGTCGCCGACCTAATTTTCTCCTGACTCTAGCATGCGCCGTGACCACTCACAAGGCCCAAGGTGCTACCTTCGATAGCGTGGTCTTCGAATACTCATGATCAGTCCAACAACAATTAGTTCATGTCGCTTCATCTCGGGTCAGGAGCATCGATGGCTTGTTCATTACGAATGCAGACAATGACTCCCAGTTCCATCATGCTCGACCTGCAGTATCGCCCGGTCTGCGCAAATTGCGCGATGAACTGAAACGACTCGAAAGTACAGATATTGTTCTCATGAAGGCGACCATCATCTGTCTCACTGAAACATGGTGTCGGAATGATCACCAAGTACCATTGGACTCTTCCCGCCTACCGACACAGAATAATCGAGGCATGAGATCCGGCGGCGTGGCGATCCACGAGAAAATTGACCCTGAGAAAAATTTCCATCCCAATCCAAATAATTCTGACTGCAATCGATTGCGGTGAAAGCTGCCACGCGTTTTTAAGAATCGATAATCAAATGACGTCACTTGTCTGCCTCTATATAGGCCCGAACTCCACCTTCATGGAAATCGAAGAATTCCTCATTAAACACATGCAAATCATAGATCCACCTCATATGTCCAGAAATAAGGAGTCCCTTATCATATGCGGGGAGCAAAGGAGCCCCTCGTGCATACTCCAGCCTGGGCCGGAATGTTGTGCATTCCGAGATCCGCGTCCATCATGAACCGGAAAACTGTGGTCCTGCGCGACTCACCGTGGGCGAGTCGACTGCTGCCACTTCAATTCTAAACCGAAGACTCTTGGGTCTCCGGAGAAATTCGTAGAGCTTCCACGTGTGAGCCGAAAACGGTGGAGCGATTGATCTCAATGGAACCATGTAGTCAATTTCGATACGAGAACATCGGGTCGACCAAACGGTTCCTCGGATTCGCTCAGATGAGGCACCGTGTAAATGTCCGAGTCGAATAGATCCCTGCTCGGAGGTTGCTCGTCGCTCATCGGTTTGGGTCCAGTACCGCTCGGACGGCGATCCAGGAGGAGAGCAGAGAGGCAGAGTTTCCCCAGGAATTCGATGAATCCCGATCATCTCTGGATGACCTGGGAAGATCCGATCTAAGGATAGGACAAGCGCAGTCAAGAGGGAATCGACCTCCTTGACCGAGATCCAGCAGAGGGGTCTGGGAACTTTTGAGCATGAAGACTACCATAGAGCCTTTCAGAGCAGAATTCGTTGGAAGCAGAATCCAGAGGAAGACACGAAGGGAGGATATGGGAAAGTTTTCGACATAGAAATAAATGCATCAGAAACTTTCGAAATTAGACTTTATAATCGACCTTCCCACTCACAATAAGTGCGCCGAGGGACGAAAGAAAGAAATTCTGACTTCGATCACCAAGCACTGAAGCGAGCCGGCCGAGGATTTCCGCAGCCAACAGGAACAAATCAGTCATGAGATTAAAAGAGGATGGACAGATGGATTGAACCCTCCTCCGCGATATTCGTCAGTCCCACCTATGGTTCTCTCAAAAGGAGACGAGGAGGCTCGACCGTGCTTCCCGGTAGATTGGTGTAGTGTGGTCTGTTGACATAACCGCCTACGATGTTCCCGCGGATGATGACGATGACCTCTAGCCTGCTTCGACCCTAACATTCACAAAATAATCAGAATCAACAGACAACCTGAAGTCAAATCATCGTTGAATTCCCGCTGAGCGTTATGAGCTGGCCACACGCGCGGATTCGACACGAACATTCTCCTTTGCATCGAATCGTTGTGAGTGGTCTCATCGATTGATACTGAAGCCGATTCATGATCACTCCTGCTTGAGGGATCGGCACGGGGGATTACCAAGAAGAGGACGAAAATGAAGAGCAACATAAGGGGGGTTCCCTGTCCGTCTGCAAGCTTGTTCGTTGGCTAGATCCTTAGTCTGCATACATGACTAAGCCACTTACCCCCGTTTTCGGCGGAGGTCTCCAAGGGGACGAGTCAAATTCAATTATAGAAACAGCATCTACAAGCCTCCCCGCGAAGTGAGCGGCTCAAGTGACTGGGCTGCGAAGCTTCGGGTCGGAGTGACCGGGGAAGGAACACGAGAAGCATCCTACCAAGTCATTCAGCATTCGGAGTCCAGTAAGACTTCAGATTGGGACCGCAGTGCAAGAACTCTGGGAGAATCAGCTTCAAAATCTTCGCAAACAGGCCTGTCAGGGATTCCGCATCGTACGGCAGCCTCTCTTTACGGCGGAGCATGATCTTTGCGTATCTGAAGGGATCTAATTTTTTCTTTTTAGCTCGAACGCCAGAAACCAGGACCGTCCTCCGAAACAGTCAGATCAGTTTTCCAAAATTCCTCGGAATCATTTCATGATGACTTGGTTGTTCGTTCAGCCTGATTCTCCTCCATTGACCCTCACCCTCAATCTGGAACTGTTCTTCTCCTCCGCATCTCCGAAGAGGGATCTCGGACAAAATGTTAAAAAAATATCTCACAGAGCGTTCCAAGATTCCATCGGATCGACGCTCACGAGCGTTGTCTCACCAGCTGAGCGCCGACAACCTCTAGGCGCAATGAGCAAGTGAGCTCCGGAGAATTGGACTGAGTGTGTGAGCGAGCGAGCTGATCAATATTTGGAGGAGATGTATGATGCCCTACAATGAGAGTAAGTGAGTGGATCCCTAAGGAAACTGAGCTATATCGGTGCCCTCGCTCGATCCGAGGCTTGGCTTGCCGACCCTGCGTTGGGGCAGAGCACTCATGGAGAGCATCGGTCGTCTAACCTCGGGGGTGGGTCGTCGGGCTGATTTCGATGCTGATGCCTCCACCGGGGTCAGACTGGGTTTTGAGGGACGGGAAGGAAAGGGGGATCTCCCGCAAGAAGCGGATCGGCCGACAACCGCGACGACAAGGGCCAGCAGTACGATTCAGCTCAAGGCAGCGACAACGATTCCCTCGGCAGTGGCGGATGTGGAATCGGCGCCCGCCGCTGGCACAGCAACAGGCTAAACACACTAATATGAGACTAAACTCAGCGGGGTCTCCAATCGCTCTCGATTGCGTCAGTCTCGTTTTCCCCTCGGAGATGAGCCCACGGGTCACGTGACAGATTCAAAGGAGATGAGAAAGATCTCATCTCTTCAGTGATGAGATAAAGACTGTCTCCATGGATACGATTCGAGCATTCCCTATGTTTACGATTCGTCTCGGAAGCTCGAGTCGCTGTTAGTTCGAGTTTCTCGCTCTACGTGCCCCCTCTCTATCCATGGATTCGGCGAGCGGAAATCTCGTTCCGAAATCCTGGAAACTTCGGTCGATCGGCAGAATGCCGACGCTCGACGGGGACAAGTGCTGAGCTCGTCGAGTTGAAGATGGAGAACGGGAGTAACTCGCTCTTCTAGACGGACGAACAGGTTCGGAGGAAACATTCGCCAGCCATTCATGGAACTGTTTTGACTTAGTTCAAAGCCCGCGGCGAGTCGCAACTTGCTGAATGATCAATAGCGACGACCGCGAAAAGCCCCCGAGGCACACGAACTTGTGTCGCATATCGGCCGGTCGCTCGCTTTGCAAAGATCATCTGCGGATGACATCTTCGTTCTCCGCTTGTCTCGTTGCGAACGCCTTCCGGACTGCGACTTTCAGCTGCTGCAATTTTCGGCTCTCGAACAAGCAGCGATGCTCCGGTCCGCAATCTCGCATCTTATCGAATGCTCCTCATGGAAGTTGGGGAGATAGGTTGTCGCATTTTTGCGAGACTGCGGATGCGTTGAGGCATCCCCTTTCTCGGAACGACACTGGAAGACTCATTCCGGAATGTTCCGTTGATTCCCTTGACTCCCCGCCGTGAAAACCTAGAATTTCCGTGGGAAAATCGTTTCCCATTCCTCCCGTCACCGGGCTGCATTTTTCTTGCCACGGACCTCCGCAGCTGGGCCAGAACGTCCACGGCAGACTCATTCAAACTAGACGGGATCTGAAATTTCTGAGCCCATTTGGACTTTTGAATTCTCAAAGTCCCGGAACCCTTCTGAGGAGTTTATCACCAGGTACTCTGATCATTCCCTTGGCGCGCTCCAAAGCGATCGGGAGAGGCTTTACGGGCCCATCGCGCGGAGGGCTCGGAATCTATTTCGGCTCCGCCTGGAAGAAATGAAAGAATGGAGACAATGGTCTCCACAACCACTGCTATGTGTATGAGACAATACTTCGGTCTTGGTGTTTCTGTGAGTCCATCGGGGAACGGGGCGCTCATTACCGGATAAAAGGTTTCATCGAGAGGGGGCTCTGGATGTTGAGTTTCGCGGAGAGCTCACTGAAGCGAGAATGATGACCATCTCCGAGCGCTGAGGTCTTGCTGATGCAATCTGCACCCAGCCTTCAAATCACCAGTCGATACTCGGCCTAAAAACCGGCTCTTCCTTCGATATTCCCTTGTGTATACTATTCCAGGGGCGAAGGAAAGGGCTCTGCATATCGGCTCCAGAAACTGCAGGTTTCTATTCGACATTTCATGACTCATGGAACCCTGTTGGAATAACGCCTAACACCTCGCTCTCATCAGGCGTCCGTCAGGTGAAGAGACTCTCAGGGAAGAAATTGGGCGAGCTGGGCAGAAAGTTCCGGAATTTATTTACAGAATAATCGATACTATGATCAGGCAGTGCAGCGAAACGTCCCCCCGTTGCCGATTTTGGAGATTTCCACCTCCTCTACGATACATGAAGACGAGCATGATCAACTTTCTCAAGCTCCACAAGAGGTCTCAGCTGGTCAGCGAATGCCTTCATTTCTTCGCCAAGCGATTCCTGCGACGGAGGCGCTAGGACGCTCAGCTCTATGAGGAACGACTGGGAGACCGGTTCCAATGTTTCGGGGTTGCCGGATTGACACACGCGATGAATCTGCCGACGAGGGTCCCAACTTGATCAGTTCTTTCATATTCAGTCTGAGGAAAATGATCCAGAGTGCCAGAAGTATTGAGACCGTTTACCTTTTGAACGAGAATCTTCATTCTGCCCTTCTGGAATATGTGGCCTTTCGCAACAAACTCGTAATCAAGTCGGAATCCCAATTCGTTCAGCCACGTCACGAGATTACTGGAGGTCCCAACTTCGATCACACTCCGGCAAATCGTGAAACGACTCTTGTCTCCGACTTCCGGCTGGCCAACGTATCTGTGAAACGGAGATTCGAATTCAGTGCTCCGCGTGGACTCCTCCGAAACCCGAGGTCTTCTACCACCGGGACGCGCTACAGAACGGGCGATCTCCAATCCTCATCATTCTCACATTTGTCTGTCGCGACTCATCACTACTGGCAGACATTCTGCTCACCTCAATTGCCACGGCAACTGCGGATTATCCAAAGCGTTCCTTGCTCTCAACGAGAACGTGGCTTGATTCGCTTGGTCCTTGATGGTGTATACTTGTTCGATGTCGTGGAACAACTCGACGGGTGAGTCGGAGTTGTCGCAAAGACCTCGGAGCCTGAAAATCATCCAGGAGTATTGGCTTCATCCACAGTTTCAACACGGTATGTAGCACATTCGGAGCAGTCGATAAACCGTACCGCGGAGGCGGCTCGGGTTCGATCTTTTAGAACCTCTGTCCCCCGTCATCGAGCGGGGATGCCCAGGAGAGAATGAAGCGCTGCAGTGATCCGCCACGCGGCCCTTGGGCGAATCGTGCGTACCCTCGGAAGAGAACACTGCCACAGGACCGCGCCTCCCAACGAACATCAAAGGGCTTTGATATGTCCTGAGCGATTTTTTCCCAACAACAGCGCTTGACAGGAACGGTGGTTAGACCGAGTATCGCCGTAGCCGAGAGACGAATTTGTCTCGGAAGGCAGAGGGTCGGAATGCTCCGGAATACCGAGAGATAGGAGTATTCCGGCTCCGATATCACCGGAACGAGAAAAAAAACATCATGGCGAAGCGAGGGGATTTTCCCGTTGGCCGATTGGCTTCAGCATCACTCAGAGGGAGAGCCCTCAGATTCTATTCTCAGAACTCACGGACGTTCGTTCCAAGACGAATGAATGCTCGAAGCCTACCCACCTGTTCAAGAGGACATCGGCCGAACTATCAAGGATCGATCCTTGGAGAAGGTACTCCTGTAGGTTCGCCGCATTTTTCCGGGTTAGGGGTTGCTCGACTATCGGAGCTTCGGCTTGCATAATCTGGGAAACAACATCGAATATAAATTATCTCTGGGTGTAGCTTCACGCTGGATACATGATGTCAGGAATATTTTCCCGAGAACTTCCGCATCACTTGGACGGGCGGGAGCCCCTTGCGGGAGTCGGACGGTGCCGGTTGAGCGTCGAATGTCAAGCGGGAAGATTCAGCACACAATGCGCGAACTCTCGGAACGGATGGATTCAGTGTATCGCTCACTCACCGCAAGAACAGCGCCGCACTGTAGGATCTCGGCTAGATGGATGCGATTCCTCTGAAGTCGCGAAAGGTGTTTGCAGTCTGTTAGCGAGAGGATCCGTTCCGAGCTTTAAGGCCGAAAGAAACTCTGAATCCTCTCACGCGGATCCGAAACCGCGGCGGGTATTCCAACTCAGAACTTTTCTCGAATCTCGTGCTGGTCGGAAGCCGAGACGAAGAGAGGAGATGGGAAAAGCCCACACGGTATCCTCCCAGAGTTTGACGAATCCGAACGCTCGACGACTGTTGTTCGAATTTGCCGCGCATTTCTCCGAGTCTTAGGCCAGCGATGGCGATACCGTTCAAAGCTGACGGAACGGCGGGTCCTAGAGGTTGCATTGTTTTAGACGGGGAAACTTGTGTCGAGCGAAGCTTTCGTCATCTTCTCTCAGAGTATTCTTATCATTTTGAAAGGCAAGTGAATTCATGCCGCTTATGGACTTTAGGGCTCAAGGAACGATCACAAATCACAGGAATGGAGTTATGGAAGAACACCCGGCAGCCTGTCTCATCTGCGGAGAAAATATGTCTCATCGCAAGGAGGAGAGTCTCCTGTGTTTCCTCCTCGTTCAGGAAGTCGGATATAACGGTTGCGCGCTTTCGGGCTTGAATGAAAATCGGGACGAGAAAATATAGACTGTCACGGTAGTCGAGCCAGAGGCTCAATACTCCCTGCTCGGCTATTGCGAATTATTCCCACCAGGAATCCTCTGACAACTTCTTTTTTTTCCAGCGCCGTCAACCGCCACGAGGGACTCCAGGAAGACGCAGTCCATGTCCGCATCCGGATGAGCTTCTCGAGCTGTGGAATTTGATCACCGGTGCACTATCGAAAGGAAGAAGAATGCGCTGCCAATGTATCATATGCACAGACGACTTCGACCATTCTGCTGATATCGCGTGTCTCCCATGCGGTCACACGTTCCATCAGTCTTGTCTGGATCAGTGGCTGAAGAATAGCTTCACTTGCCCAACGTGTCGTTGTCGGGTGAAAGTTCGGGATGTTCGCCGAGTTTTCCTCACATCCCTCGACAGCACCATCTGCGGTGAGTTACACCCTGGAAGCCGATGACGTCCGCATTTTCTCGTTTGACTGACTTCTTTCTCTTCATCCAAATATCAGAGCCAAAAAGTTTGGATCGATATATATCGGAGCATTCCCATGCACGGCCATGTCCTCGGATAGCGTTGTCGGGGTTGATCTACTTTGCATTCAATTATGCGAATTATCCCAGATGCCTCTCAACTCGGTAAGGACCTGTCCGAAACCACCGTGAAGAACCTCGAGCTCCGACAGAAAATTGCGGAGCTTGAAGAAAAGCATAGGAAACTGAAGGCTCTCTTCGAGAAATCCGAGACCAGTGCCACGACTGCGAAGAGCAAATATCATGCAGCTGCTAAGAAAGTAGAATCACTGCAGGGCACAGTGAAGTTAATGAAGAGTACGCTCGAGGAGAACGTCACTCTCAAGGAAACCATCACGAAACTGCAAGACACGATCGAAAAGGTGAGGTGGACCATGCTTCCGCGAAGGCAACCCGAGCCGGTCGAGAGCGGCGCGGATTCATCTCGGAACCTTCCATTCCATGATTGATTGCGGGCTGAATGAGATACATCCCGGTGTCCGAAATTCCCCCTCCTTAGGAGATGGAACCAGTCAACCCCGCGTAGAACAACTTTTATAGACTTCTTCTCCCTTTCCGCAGAGCCGACATATGAAACAAGTCCTAAATGGAACCGAAAAGGATGTGGAGGACCTCTTGAAACTCTATGGACCGAGTTCGGCCTCGGTCCGTCAGATAGCTATTTACTGTGTCTCCCTGAAACGAGAGCTCGAATTAGCCAAAAACGAGGTGCGGCACTCGCGAGACGTGATAAACTCGGCGAGTCGCCGACGAATCAATCTTGAAAACGAACTTTCGTCGACGAACAAGGAGTTGGCAGATGCCACGGCGGAGGCGACGAAGTATCGAGAGCAGTGCTTCAAGTTAACGGTGAGGCTGCTCCGCCTCCTAACGATCGTTGGCAGGTTCAGTCGTCCACCCTCGAGGTCTCGACTATAGTGAGCCCATCATCTCCTGATTTGATGGAAGATTATGAGTCATGAAAGTTTATTCCCCCTCTCTCAGGAGCGTCTGGAGAACCTCCCGGAACGACAGGGATCATCTGGGTCCAGTGGGATGAGACGCTGTTCCGGGGAAGCTGAAGCCGATCCGGAGAAACGTGTCAAACGAACGAAGTCTTTCGTGCCCAGCCCACCGGTACTCAAAGCTAGAACCAATTCGACCAAAATTCATGGTGAAGCCGTGAAAATCTCGATGACGAAAGTAAGATTCGAGTATCATTATCATTAGATAGGATCGCTTCCCATCGATGGATATCGCTTCCGGGTATTTCATTCATTTTCGATTCTATTTGGTTTCTCCTCTCAGGCGCTACCTGGGTACACAAAAATGAAAATCACTCCAGCGCTGCGGAAACCTGAGAATCCCTCGAGAACGACCACCGACGACGAATTGGTCTTGAAGCTGATGAAGAATAAGTTGAGAACAACCGACAAAGACAGCATTCAACGGAAGGGATACAATGGCCTCGGCGGACATAGCAGCCACATACAGACATCCAAGCGATGAGATCCAATTTTGTATATTGATGCTGTAAAAATGGAGCAATCGGAGTCGATAGGGGGGAGGGTGAGTCTCGTTCATTGAGGCCGAATCATGGTTTCAAAGATTCAGTTTGTGGACGATTTTAATGACGGCTTGTTTGTATCGGGAATTTTCGGAAATGTTATCTCGACCATCGCGGGAACCGAAATAAAGTTTCCGGTGGTTTCTAGAGAAGTGATCGAGGCTTGTTCCGTCAGAGTCGCGGCAGACTGGCAGAGGGGGATCTTTTGAGAAAGCTTCAGAAATTATCCCGCCACGGGGATCGGCGGCTGTTTGAACTCCGGAATCCTCTGTGACTTCAGTCTTCGATACACCTGTCAGTACTTTTTATTGACCAATAGAAGGTTAGTCGACTCGATCTGGAGCTGGAATACGGTTTTTCAGCTTCAGGCAAGTGAATTCGTATAGGATCTGTCCCCGAAACGATGACATGCACACATCGAAGTCGTAGGCTCCTATTCGAGCCCCCTTTAGCGCTTCGGGAGCTCTGGAATAGGGGAAACGGGTTTTTCAGCATGCATGAGCGACTCCGAAATGTTTAGTCAATTATTTATACCTATAGGGTTCCGACGACGCGACCAAAGTTCCTCTAACGGTATCGATGGTAAACGTGGAATGCTGTTCGAAGAACTATCCGCTGTGTATGTATATGTAAATGTATATGTATAGATATAGATATACCTTTATTGAACAGACTACTATCGCTAGATCTGATCTATCAGCCGTTCAGAAGATCGAGCTCTCTCAACGCCTTTGGGCAGTTCTCGATCCCCGAAATGAGCTCCGAGTTTCCCCTCTGTACTTCTACAGCGATTCGCTGTCGTATGCACATAGCAGCTCGGCGGTCGCCACCACGGGCCACGATACGGCGCCTTATTTCTTTCACCAACTTTGGAGCGTCAGTGCCCCACACTCCGGTCTTCCATTTGCTATTGATCTTCTATGATACTGTGGATAGCCACCAATTCCGGAAATAGTTTCAGCAAGCAAATTTCCCGGATACCCTTTGGCCGTTTGGTACATTTTCCGTCTGCTTCACGTTGTGAAGTGACTCCGCCCACCATGACGATTGCGACTTCTTCAATTTTGACGCATTATATCGACGAGCGTGCTCACCAGCTGGCGTTTTGTCAGCTTTGATGACAACCGCGTAGTCGTCGGCCGGCATCCTCCCTAGAGCGATGCGGAACAGTCGGATTGAATCATTGTGTTCCTTAAAGAAGGTTTGCAAGTCCGCGATGATGTCGCGTTTGGTTCAAGGGTTGACTCGACACCGTTGATCGACTTGATCATCAGTGTTCCCCATGAAATGAATCTGTCGAAAATGATGGTCTTCATCAGACGGGTCTAACATTGAACCAGCAAGATGATACATTTGTTCCTGAGTCTTGAAAGTCGGCATGAACCCTTCATGAATAATCTTCGTGGCACCAAAGGATGTCACCTGGAAACAAGCATTGTACCTCCGGATGTTCGTCGGGAAATGCTTGGACAATTGAGTCTTTCCTGAGATTAAAGTTTTCAACGGCTCTGGAGGAGGCTGAAGCTCCGGCAACTTAAATTTCCCCACGATCCCGGTGCTTCCCTTGTAAATTTCAGAGCTTCGCAATATCTACATAACTTGTTTCGATTCCCGATGACAACTTATGGATGAGAAGCGTAATCGCAGTTTAGAATGTAATGGAATGCAGCGAAACTCAATTCCAAACACTAAAGTCCTCGGGACTGAACGTCGCGTGTTCGATTAGACGCGAGTCTGCTTCTCGTCTGCTCGTCAGACTCTTGCAAGCGAGCTCGAGCAGTAGCCGTGCGATAAACTTCCAACCGAGACGCTCGTCTCTCCACTGTCTCTTCGGAGCGAGCTCGTGCCGTGCGCAAACAATCGGTAGCGCTGTCCGGCGATTGCTGGGGAAGAGCAGGGTCAGTCTCAAGCCCCGAAGGCTGGACAAACGCTGGACGATCTTCATTCTGAGGAATTTTTACCAGCAGAAATCAGAGCAGAGGGATTGAAAGTTTCTCAACGTTCAGCTGAGAGATACCCAAAAATCGATGGATTAAGGAGTTCCATTCCGAGGGAGCGATATCAGTGGACGCTGACTTATATGAGTAGAAATTGGTTCGTATAAGCCGGAATTTTGTGCCCCCACGTTCGCGTTTTGGATCGCCCCCACGTTCGTGAATAAATCCTGACACTAGCCATCCGAGCTATAATTCGTACAGATTGAGATGAAGATAATGTTCGGACGAGAGTTCACGGAGAGCAGCATATATCCTGCTCACTGCGGCTCGGGACGCTCCGATTCGTAAGCGGTTTGAACTGCGGTTTCCAATTTGCGGTCTCGGACTGATCGCGAATCGCGGTTTTCGGATTTCGCGGTTATTTGCGAGGCCTAGGTGCTACAGGGGTGCCATTGAAAAGCGCTGCTTTCAGTTGTTCCACGCGTCAGCAGGGCCGATGAATTGCTTCAAACCTCGAGGGGCTACGACAACGATTTATTTCTTGTCGGCATCGGCGAAACCACAATCATTGCCATTGTTTCGCTCCGACTTTCTTCAAGCAAATTTCCATGATCTCGGCGATCTTCAAGGTAGCGTCTAAGGGTAGCACTGGAGACTCGGTCAGGCCTTTCTGCAAGCATTCGCGTACGTGCATCGCTTCGTACCTGTTGGGGTAGTATTGTTATCCCGAAAGGAAGTTCCGTGAACGGGCATTCAGAAGCGAATTTCGATTATTCCCCTCCTCACCTTAATCCGGAGCTGTTGACGTAATTGCAAGGGAGCAACGTTTCGGGAAACGGGAGATGAATCTTCCTACCGTTCACATCGAGAGACTCGGGGCACCAGAACGGATTGGCCAACTGTATTCGGTGAAGGGAAGAGTTTTTCAATCGTTTTTTTTTGGTCAGAGCAATCTCGATTGTTTTCAGGAGATTGAGCATTGATTCCCGGATTTTAACGATACTCGCTTTGATGCTACCGTTCACGCCATGAACTATCGCTTCGCACGGGAGGTCCGCCGTAAGAGAAGTTGTGAGTGACGCAAATTTTCCAGACCTGTATTTCAAAATCATAGCCGTCTGAAAATCGACGCCATCAGAGCTGATATCGCCGACGGCTTGAATCTGGACGGGAACTTCATCCTGGGGAAAAAGAGCAGAGCTGAAATGATCCCGTCGGCCGTTGGTAAGTCGTGAAGATAGAGAACCGGCCGAAACATGAATCTAAGATTTGGTACCTGAAAAATCAATTGCGCGAAATTCACGCAGTACACCCCGATGTCCAGGATGGAGCTTCCCCCGAGCTCTGGCTTCGTGACGCGCTCACATTTCTTTATCTCTTTGGAACCGAAGGTCACGTTCACTTGTTGAATCTCACCGATCGACGGGAGGTTCTTCCGCAGCTCATCGTAGACCGGCAGAAATCTCGACCATATCGCCTGCGTAAGTGCATCTCATGTTACTCAGCGAGGGTCGACCAAACTTTGGACTTTTTGGAGAATGATTCCGCCTCGCATAATCCGCGATTGATAAGCCAGGAAACACCTTGAGCCAGCTGGACTTGCCTCCATCAGGAAAACCTTATTTTCCCGCGCGATTTTCACCAATGCCTGTGTGTGTTTAGCATACATTGTGAGGGGCTTCTCGCAGAGCACGGGGATTTTATTCTCGAGGAGCAGCTTCACCAGCTCATAGTGCTGGGTATTGAGGGAGCCGCAATAGACAACGTCTGAAAAGAAGCTCTTTGAGGAGCACTGGATTTCGCTCCGATATATCGATGCTGAATCGTGGAGGGATTGCAAGCTATAGGCAGCGAAAGCCGAATCGGAGCTGTGACTCTTACCGACGCCCTGCGTTATGATGTCCTCATAATTATCCAGAATGACGGGAATCTTATGCAGTGCCGCGAATTTCTTGGCATTGTCCAGGTTCTTCGCGGCGACGACTTTGACTTCATGGTTCTCAAGCGATCGGAGGGCAGTCACGAAATCGTGGGAGATCTTTCCAGCCGAGAGGATACCCCACACGGTAGCCATCTTGGACAATATCATGTTTTGATTATCTTATCACGGAATTCTTTATATTCTCACGAGAGCAGGGGCTAATCCTATCTCTCGCAGAACCTTGAGAGTTCACTTCTCCCGGGCTCGTCTCGGGATTATTGTGGAAACTCTCAGTGACGGCGCGGTGCTCGCTCTCGGGACTGTCGAGCTCTATCGCGTCTGATTGCCGTGATAAAATGACGGACGGGCGTAACCCTTTCATTGTTCCCTAACTTTTCTGAGATACGCTGGAGGCTCCGACTCCAGTGACAAACTTTGGGAGCGCGATATCGGAGGGTTAACGTGCGACGCTTCCACACCGCGCGATTTTCAGGATCTCTCCCTGCGTACATCCCGGGAGGGTATGCCCGTCCTACGGCCGTGAGGCGGTGAACATCCATCACGAGGCTGTCATTTCTGACTATTTTTACTGAACCGCAAATAAAGCAATCTGACCCTATCCGATGGGATCAGATCCAAAGTCTTCTCGAATCAAAGGTGCGAACCTCCTCGAGAATCAGAGCTCAAGATACTCAAGCCTTCTTCTCCCACCGTTGCTGAAATTGCCAAAATCCACCCATACCTTTGGGACACCCGAGTAGGAACCTCCAAAAAGCACGTTCTTCACAGTGACAGGCTCGCTGTAAGGGATTCCACCGTTTCCGACAATCGAGCTGATGATGAATGGGTGAGGGAGCGAGCAAGCTTGAGAGAGAAGGATCGTACCACGTGATCACCTATCGAAGCAGTCGGTGATCTTCCTCCGGAAAGTAATAGGGATTCCACGTTGAGGAGTGTTGGGATCGTTGGAGCTGCCCACAGAATAGAGAGGCGGCTTCTTTGGAGGCTTGTGCCATCGACACGGTTTTCCGAAGACTACAAATCCTCCGACGATAATTTTGCCATGATTGATTGCGTCCTCGGAGCAGAGTCATCCTCGGCCGAGCTATGACGAGTCACGAGTCACGACGCTTTTCTGGCCATGATACTATTATCTGCAGCTTTTCCCCGAGCATCAAATGACGACTTTCAGATACTCTGGAGAGAGAAAAGGTCGAGCGCCGACCTTGATGATGCCCACCTCTCTTTCGATGAGAATCTCGGAAGTCTCCAGACGTGAGCTTCGGAGACATCGGTACTGGGCCCTAGCTCGGCACCGCGGAGCATTCGAACTCTTCTCCAACTCCGAGCGAAAGAGAGTGGGATCTCAACGTTGAAAGATGCCGATGAATTGGTCCCCCGCCCCGTGTTGCACGATTCCCGAACATTCTCTTCATCGTGCTGACCCCCATCAGATCAGAAGTATCACCTTCCAACAAATCTGTCGAAATGACTGGGTTCATAACAGGTCAACTGCCGGATCTGTTTTCGCTCAACTGACGAGCAGAGACTAGCCAGGTTTTTCTGTCCGAGCAGGTCACAATTGTCGGGTTCAGAGCCATGAGTGATTGTCACGCCATTCGTCAAAAAGCTAGCTCGTTCGACCACCGATCTGATGTTTCCGTGGGATTTACCGGCCATAATTCACGGAGAGTGTCGTGGACAGAACTTATGGAAGAGCTTTTTGTGCGGTAATCGAAAATCGCTCGAAGGAGAGGTTATCTGTCCAGAATTGTGCAAATTGATCGCCAAGTTCCAAGCTTTCGTAGGCCAACTTCGACCATGTGATTGCCTCGAGACTGTCACCCGCATTATTGCAATAGCCACGAAAAAACGTAATTCCTGTCTCCTTGAAAGCCTACTCGAATTGGAAAGCAAGTTATGAAATTCATGAATACAAATTCGTCTATGGGAATCACCATGCGCACGATGAAGCAGCGGACCCTCGAATCGGGATTAACTCACTAATGTGTATCGAATCGAGACTCCGATCTCGAAACGATCAGGGTCCGGGAAGGTCAACACGGAAGCGAATCGATCGGCTAGGTAAACCAAATCATGGTTCATTCAGGCAATTTCCGTGGGTGGACAGGGTCACCTTCGACCGAATGCAGTTCGAGCGTTGCCCTGAGCGTATTGAAGCTTCCGACATTATAGCAGAAGATGGCTTTGATGATGGTCTCGATTTCGGAATCCTCGACTTTCCCCACTTGTGATTAATACGCACGAGTCCGAGGAGTGAGATATAATAGATCATCGAAACGTTCGGATTTCTCTTGATCTAGACCTTCCCACAACGGATTCCATTGACGAAACGAATGTATCACTCAGGAATGACCTCTCCGATTCCGTGTTCCGCAAATGAAAACCGTGTACGGGGAATGACTGTCTCCGGATGATGAAGTCGCGATCGGGGAAAGCAAGCACTGGCAAGGTCCGACTCTGGCGGTTTCGAGCTCCCGCTCCTGGGGAGTTGTGAGCCTTCGAAGGCAATCATCGCACTCGGCATCTGGTCCCCCTTCTTTAATCATGGTCGTAACATCCGGTTGATTCGGCGGCCGGGCATCTGGTCGGGGATGCTGAATCCCGATCGCAGAGCTGGTCTATAATTCTAATCCAGTTGAGCAATTGAGCGGCGGAAGTAGTCCATTATCCAATTAGGCCTCCTGGGGGTCTTATCGGAGGACCGGAATTATCTTCCCGTTCTCCCACTCTGTGAGCCTCGACATCGACATGAAAGGGTCTACCCGGGGATAGGTCACTAGTCTCAACGATCTGTGCGACATCGTACGTGGGAATAATCTACAAGATTTCACAGGGAAAAATAGCATTCTCCTGATTCGCAACCGATTAGAACCGGGGTCAGTTTCTCTTAAAAACCGCTATGTCCTCGGATCGCCTTGAGATTAGCTACGTTGGATTCCCGGGATGGTTTCAAAATCGCAAAGGCCGGCGACGAAATTCCTGGTACGCGGAACTAGCGACGGATTCGATACTCCATCGTCAACGAATTGAAACGATTCTCCGAGCGGGCATAGGAGTGGACACTGCCGTGACTTGGGAAGTTGGACTCAATGTGGTTATAGCTCCTGAGAGACTGGTTGAGTACCAAATGAGGTCAATCTGTGAGACTTGTCCAGTTCTCATATCGGAGGACGGCGGTGAACCTCAAAACAGCACACCAGGCTGCGGCAAAAAGTTTCACAAAATTAGACATCGCCATTTTTTTGCAAGGAATAATCTTCCACCTCTTAGCGAGCGGTTTGTCGCTCCTCGTACAGAGGGGAGGCCCCCTATGACAGCTCTTGTTATTTCGAATTCGATGTTTTAGGTTCGATGTGAGTTTCCCCTCAACACGACTGACGTGAGTCGCACACTCGGAGGACCCAGAGCCACGACAAGACGAATTCTTTAACGATCCGATCACGATTCGAGTCGAAATTCCTCTGGATTTCGCCTTTCGGGACCATCGAGAAGTTTGCGTACACGGAGCACGAAGGTCTAGTTTTCGTACTTTACAGCTCTCTTTTGTGAATTCGACCGTCGAGGATGCCATGATCCGAATAATTGCGTGGCTTATCCATACAACAAATGTCATTCTGACAGCCATCGGGAGGAGAGTCTCTCGGCGCCTCTAGAAAAGGATCGGAGTAGAATCGATGGTGTCTCCAGACTTATTTAGTCATCTAACAGCCGGCTATAAGACACTAGTAGGATCTCGTTATCCCGGCACGGAAACAAACTTTGTGTCGTGACTCGACGGAACGCGTCGCGCCGCACAGTCACAGTCGCAGGAGACTACCCGAACCCGAATACGGCTGAGAATTTCGTTGGCCAGAGTCGTATACTACGTGCTGGAGTCAGAACAAGCGATTCAGCTGACTTCATAGCACGTCTGAGATGGGGATTCACGTGGTACCATTCGCTCGAGAGGCAGACCCCGCTCGGAACTCCTGATTCGCGTCGGATACCAGAACATTAGAAAACGAGCCGAATCGGGAATGAAATACAAGTGTCCATTGCGGGAAACTCCTTCCCTCTGCAGGATGATCCAATGAGTCAACAGCATTTCTTTTCACCTCCACAGAACATTTACTGAATGGGACGCTAACCAAGAGGGTTTACTGTGCCCTTTGGTAGACGCGGTATTCTTCAATGTTCCCCAGGGGAAGGGGGTTGAATGGGGGAGGGGATACTCCCCTCTAATCAGTAGGCTTTCCACCTGATGGCAGGCGAGAGATCTGTATGACATCGCGCTATGGAATAATGGCCGCGATATCATTCTTGTTAGAAGAGTGAAACTCGGAAGAAGTTCGAAGCAAACTTCGATGGAATGACTCGCTGCCCTTGATCCAATAGGGAAATCCCGCAGGGCGTTCCCGCTAGCGCGCGTGCGACATTTTTCCCTAGCCTGATTCCGTTCCTGCATCCGTTCCACATGCTCGGGGAAGACATAAGGCGACGACACTCCCGACCGTTGTGAGCGTCTAGTATTACTCGATGTGAAATAGTCAAATTAAGATGCCACTCGCTCTCATTGAATAGTCAGTCTTCGTCGACATTTGTTCGATATGTTTATTGGGAGAAGTCAACTCCAAACTCTCTATATACATCCAATTGCATAAATCCAGCCAAACTCTATTTACAGGTTGTTGATCGCGGCGTCAGTCATTTGTCATACCGGGTTTTCGGTTCTAGGGGTGTTTAAAGAAACAGGATCGGCACAAATAAAATGGGAGAGATTCCGAAAGTAGGACGGAGAGCTCGCCTCGGATCCGGACGAGATTTCTCAGTCAGTGAGATTCGTGTATCGCTCCTCTCTAACTCCTCAGCGAACTTCCCGAATCAAGGCGTTGAGAACTCTGTATACTTATGGAAGTTCCAATTCTGGAGATCATCACCCGTACATTCGACAACGTAGATTCTCTCGACAGCAACGCTCTCGGATTGTATACAGAGACCGCTTTGCGCATGTACTATTTGACCACCACGTTTGTGCCTCCACAACTTGTCTGCGCGGGGGTACTCGTCGCACTTCTCCATGACGATTTTCCCCTTCGTTCGGCGGAATGGATCCACCCATGAGACTTTGGCACATACGTCATCTCGACGCAGTTCGCCCTTTCGCGACAACGACAACAACTGATTCGTGGCTTCTTCTGGTATCGGATGGCACTCGAAGACGCCCAGATCCGAGATTTCGTCCTCTGATTTGCCGTACGTGTCCAGGCACATGTTGGTGTGTGGGTTCCGTATGATGCCAAAACCTTGAGAGTGTTCCTCCATGAGGTACTTATGTGGATAAACATTGTCGAGGTACCATTTGAAAGACTTGCAGCGATTCTTTTCGCGGAACGCTTTCCTAGCGGAGATATCACCAACCTTCATTTTCGTCAATTCGGGTCTAGTTTGATAGAAATACTTTTTGAACTCGTCCATCCAAACTTCGACGGCTCGTTTCGTGTTGATGGCATTCGTGTCTTTTCCCTTCGGAAATTTGTACGGATGGTAGTCACGGAAGATGTGTCCGACGTGAGAGCACGGAGCGATAACAATGTGACCTCCGCATTGCCAGATCCGGAAAGACATTTCGAGATTCTCTCCACCCCAGCCGTCCATCTCTTCATCGTACGATCCGCTCTCCCAGAAGTATTCTCGGTTGATTGCGAACAACCCACCGGCCATCGTGGGGGATCTCATGGGTTCGGCGATCGAGGTCCGATTTTTCCTCCAGGCCGCGGGAATGTTGTGCCAGGAGAATTCCCCTTTCCAGTTGAAGCCCCCGATTTGGAAACGATCCCCCTCGGCGGCAACATATTGCAACGTTTTATCATCAATTATATCGATCACAGGACACACGACGGCTCTCCGGTCTCTGCGTATCGGCTCGAGCAGGGGCTCGAGCCAGCCGGGCGTAGTTTCACAGTGGGAATCCAAAAATATCAGAACGTCTCCTTTGGCTGCCCGAGCGCCGGCGAGTCTGGCCCTGATAAGCCCCGATCTCTCCGGCAATCGAATCAGACGGACAACGTCAGCGCGGAAGTGATGTGTTATGTATCTCTGTAAGCGATCCTTGAGATCCTCACTCTGGCTAAAATCATCCACGAGGATAATCTCTCTGAGGAGGTGGTTGGGCGACCGGTTAATTGTGCTCACTATGGTCCGCAGAAGAGTTGAGAAGATTTCATCGGTGAAAATGATGACCACCGAGGCCGTGGGCAACTCGGCCATGGGGTACGTGACAGCCTTGCAGTGTCGGTGTCGAGTATCCCGGAGAGATCTGTTCAGAGGTAAGCGATCGGAGACGTAGACGTTGAACGCCGCCTTAGAGAACTCTTTGTCGGCTTCGAGCTGTTCCTCGGGCCCCAGAATCACCGCATGGCCGTTCTTGCCCCAGTCCGGTCGAATTTTATTGAAAAATGGAACTTCGTCCGGCAATGGCGCGACCGGCAAAATCGCCGGCAAGCTCGACGGCTGCTGAACTTTGAACTGGGATGACACTTCGTGCTGAGGCTTCTGCTGCTGCTGCTCCTCTTGGGGCGGCTGCTGCAGCACCAAAGGGTGCTGCTGATGGCGGTGAGCATTGAAAGCGTGCCGTTTGCTCGCTTGTTCGTCGACGTATCGTTCGAGGTACGAGAGAGATTCACTTTTCTGCTCCGGAAGTTTCCGGTTGTGCAGAACGACCAGACAGGCCACGGCGAACACAATCAAAATCACGAAACGGTACTGTCGTTTCCGTCGGATAGCATATACCATTGGATTCATGGTGAGCTGATGCACCCAGCGTGCCATGTCGTCGACGGTCACGGCATCACACCCGAACTAGCTATGCATGCTCGTCCGAACTAGTTCGACTAGAATCACACACGCTTTGCACTGAACGGTGGAACTGCGTTATTGCGGCTGCTGCCGCCGCTGCAGCAGCAGGCAAATAGGCAAACACAGTGTCCCTTCCCACACGTCAGCTGCTTGCTCCAACGTGGATCCATCTGGGTGAGGGTCGCTGGCTCGTTTCAGCCGCCGCTGACGCGGCTCGCACGACCGGCCGCTTGGCTTCGGAGCAGCCGAAATCAGCTGGTGTGTCCAGGGCTCGAAGCGACGGCCCTCGGTTCTTCTGACCACGGCTCTGTCTCAGAGCGGCGCAGAGTTGTCTGCGTGGCGCTGAGACTCTGTCAGCGAGAGCCGTCTCGGTCATTGTTTGTTTCTACAAGAGTGGCGGAACTCTGGTAAACCAAGCGGGAGCAGTGAACGTCTAGGAACGCGGCGGCGCCGGCCTGTCAGCGAGCGGATTCGAAGCTTTCGAGGGCGGCGCAAAGGAAGAGCGAGATTCTACGGAGACCATGCACCAGCAGATGTGTACTATTATCCCTCTCGTCGGGACCGTCAGCTTGACCCAATATAGGAGCAGAGGGAGCCTCTTGCTCCGATCGGTGTCTCGGCCGACTTTACGCTGACCACCTGATCTATCTGAGAGACACACTATCTCGGAGTCCCGTCGATCGATGACGGCGAATAGCCGCAAATGACTCCTCCACCGAACTTCTCGTCGTTTCGCAATCCTCATGATTCCTCCATCCGCTTAGCGAAACTCCTGTCGGATTTCAGGATTCGATCAGCGGTACCAGGGGCTCGCACAAGACTTCTATTCGGAAAGAGGGGGGGGACCTTTGACATGTCGAAGCCGCTCCCGATCCGTACAACGGCTTTTGCAGAGAGAACCAAGGGAGCTTCTTCTCTAGTCGGACGAGCGCCATTGGGCTTTCTCCTTTGTTAGCCCAATGGGATCGGTAGGGAAATATCTCAAGCGTGAAACTGGTCCGAGTCTGGACCCGAAAACTCTCAGCGGGAGCTGTAGTGTTGACCGAGTCGGAGGGTTCGGATCTTCTGGTGTCTCGAATGTTCATCCGCCCTAAACCTTATATATCGCCGTGGTATGCTCGACAAGCTTCCGCGCTCGATTGTCTGGTCGATCACAAGCACAGGGCTCGATCGCGGCGATTCGTCGCTGCTGTGGATTATAATCCGTCGACCTACTATTCATCACGTGTGCGAGAAGATTCCCCTCAATGCTTTTTTTTTGAGGATTCTTTCCGTCCGACGTCCGGGCTGTGGAAAAGGGGATGGGACTCCTTCCGCTAATCCTCGTTGCTTCTGGAATTCTCCAATCTTGCTTCGTTTTCGAGAATCGTTCGCGAATCTGAATGACTGTCCTAGCTCCCTGCGCTAAATAAGGGATATTTAGAAGGAGTCATGCATATGTCTTCAAGGATCTCCAACATCTATCGTAACGTCAAGAAATATTAAAGGGGTCAGCGTATCCGAGGTTTTCCCAAGATGAAAGGTCATTCCATCTAAGAGCGGCTGTGTCAAGAGTCAAAAAATTCTGACCTCTTCTTGTCCAGACGTCAATCTGCTCTTCCCTCTCTGTTCTTTTTGTTCATATCCCGATCCTAGGGAGAACAAATGGACAAAGGAACTTCGTTGAGGAAGTTTCCGGTCATGGAAAATATATCTTCCATCCAGTTTTTCGATGACACCTCCGGGGTTGCGGAGAGATATCGTTTCCAGGAATGTCGACAAGGGGTAGCGACCACCGAGGATTTGGCATGGATCTGAAAGGGATTGACAGAATTTTTCATGCGCAATACCGGAATGGATAATTGTCAGTGTTTCGCCGGCGTCTTGATGAATGTCTTGATGTATTGGGTTTCTTAGATGTTTCCGGGGGAAGCTCGTCCCGGCACCCGCAGGAGCTGCCGCTAGCGGTGTGGTGAGGTTGTCTACGCACTAATTGTTCGACCCGCGACGCACCGGGGTAGATTGGAAACAAGCCATCCAAGTAACGACTGAGCAAGCCGGCCAGTCGACCGTAAGCCGTCACTTGAGTGAACGCTTACGAAAAAGCGTGTTGACAAACGACTGATCAGCGGCGGAGCCCGACTTCTCTGGATATTCGCCGCTGTTTGTGTGCAGTCGACTAAGCATTCGCGATCCAAACCCTCCCGCCGACGATCTTGCATCTCCATCACCGGGCCGGAATCGTACGCTAAACTCCTTATCAGATCTCCGGAGCCATCACAGCGGCGCTTAGGGGTTTTGGAAGCGGCGTATTCAAGAGCGCAGCCGTCCCTCACTATCGACCCGTGTCTGGGAACGAAGTGATCGGACTTTCTGAAGGCTGGAGTCATTTAGGAAGGACGAGCATGGAACAGATACTCTCTTTGAGTTGATGCGCCGTCGCTTACGAATTGTGACCAATCGTTCAAGAACTATGACAGTGGCAGAAGTTAGTGCAGTATTCCAGATAGCCCTCGAGCACTTCTTTCGGTTCGATCCGGAAGATGCTTATCCGCCGCTGATGAATCTCGTATTCGGGAAAGATACCCTGTTCCGCCTCATGTGCCGTGATGTATCGCTGGAGCAATCAAGTCTCGCGGCTTGAATGGATCCATAAAGCAAGCCCATGCTTCACTCGAGTCATTGCGCAGATATTCAAGAACTTTCTCAGGGGACCAGTGGAATTTTTCGAACGGGACGGAAGTTGCGCCTCGCGGGCAGGGCAACGACATCTCCTCCCATGAGTTTCCCACGCTCGTCAAAATTGGGTACCGCGTAGTATCCGATGTGGGAATAGAGGTGCGGAATAAGAGAGAACAGGTAAGGATGAAAGCAAGGATGTCCTGGTCGATTTGAGTGTATTAAAGACATATTAAAAACATGTCGCTTCGTCGTCACGTCAATTTCCGAGCTGAACACATCTCATGAGCAGTGAGTATATACAATGATGATGATGCTGGCTCGGCTTCCTTCGGTTCTTCCACGCTTTCTATCAGGCGATCGAAATCCCATAAATATGATCTGAAACTGAAGAAAATGATGTTAATATTTGCCTCAGGTTGTGTTGTGGGTTGTGGACTGCCCCCGATTCGGACTCCGGGTGGCATTTCCAAAATATTTCACCTCGATATCCCAGCAATTCGGGCGCACGGCACGCGTGATGTATGCGTTCATGAATCATGAATATCTCACCTCCACTCTAAACATGTTGAATAAACAGTGCTATCGCTACATTGCGTGCACTCAGGTGAAAAGCATGGTACGATCCCCGTTAGATTCCCCATGATCGGCCCATCGAGTTCCGCGCAAAGCCTTGCGGATAGTAGCCCAATCTTCCATGATTTCGTTCTCGTGAAGCATGTACACAATGTAAGGCCCTGTGACGGTCACAGGCTTCTTGCGGCGATCCGGGTCCGTGGGATCAGTTTTCCGCGAGCGGTTCTTGTTGCCCTAGGAAATTCGAATGTTATTCCGATTCGGTGAATCACAGAATACGCATCGAAGCCTAAGACCTCGATCGGAGAGAGGGAAAATTCCTTTTCTCTATGAAGTGAAGATGAAGAAGTGAGCAATTACTTTATGCATATTGCAGAAGTCGGCCATAATGTACTGAGCCGGTTGCGTCCGTTCTTCCTCGATGTGACGGATCTTATCCTTGATCTCATTGATCATCTCGTCCTTGAGATTGTTCACATCGTTCTGGAAGCACAATGATCAAGATTGGTTGGGGCAAGTGTAACTACTCATTTTCCCCGAGCGCAGGAGCCGCCGTCCTCCTGCAGCTCTTGTTTCCATAGAAGAATATATATCTCAATGAACTAATCCGCTGGAATTATTGCTCACCTCATAGGTCTGTTTCGCTCCCAGCGTCTCGGCTTCGAAGCGAGTTTTTATGTTTTGCAGTTTCAGCTTCATTGCGATCTCGGACACTTCCGTCCGGATGCGGGCGGCTTCCCGGATTTCGTTCAACGGCACAAGATACTCGGTGGCTTTCCCGCTTCGGATCTCGCTGAGCTTTGTTTCGATCTGCTTGATCCGCTCTTTATACAATCTGGAAATTACAGCTTCCGTTCAAGACGGTTTCTCATCGAGCCTCAAATCGCTCCTTCTCTGAACTCGGAGGCAGCTCGGAATCCCGCACAAAGAGGGATATCTGGACGATGGAACGAACAAGCGCTCCCACTTGCCCCCTGCGACCTTCCGAGCGATAGCGGATGTAGGGAGGACTCATTTCTCAGACTGGACAGAAAACACGATAAAGCTGGGAAGACCTAGCGGCCGTTCACTCACTGTTCTTTCAGAAGCAAGAATTGTCGCTCTAAATGGATCATGTCATCCATGCATTCCGACCTCCGTCGCTCACAATCAGCCTCGTCCATATCTGAAAATGATGAATTATTGTACTCGATTTACATGCCCGCGAATGACACCACTGAATGTTGAAATCCGGAAATATTTCTCCAAACTACAATATGGTCGCCAATCATCGTTACGAGACACTTTCAACATCGAGGAGGAATCTCCGCATTCCTTAACTGTCATCATCGAACGACCAGGAACCGTTAGAACGGATGACCGGGACGTCTCCATGGGTTTTATCAGAGACTCAAGCCCGAAATGGATAATGATCTCAGCCTTCTGCAGGAGTCACTCAATTTACACCTATCAGGATATTGCTCGGACACGGTTACGAGTTACGATCACATTCTGTTTGCAAACACCATGTGTTATAATTCGCCAGCCGGCATCATCTGTTCACAGTCGCTTCCCGATATATCATGATCAGAGAGTGAATCAGAGCCTCGACTGGGGGCAAGGCGCCTCACGGCATGGGAAAGCCTCGAGCGGACAGCAGGGGCTTGTGATTCACGGAGCCTGGGAGGTTTATCCGGAGTTTTCCCGAAAGACGCCCTCGCAGGCGGAGAAGTCAGCTCTGGGTGATCGAACCATAAGGAACGGATTGGCTATATTCATATCCTCGTCGAAATCCCTATCGGGGTTATGCGCTCTCGAGAACTCAGCAATCGAGAATCTGATGAGTCTATTGAATACAATCGTCTGATGGATAGAAACAAACTCCATCGAATTCGAACCTGAAGACGAATCATCGTCGGATGCGGAGCTGGTCTCGGTATCATCATTATCGGAGCTGTGTTCATCCATTTCCTGGTCAGAATCGTCTTTGGCTGCTCTTCGGGACATTATCCCACGTCCGATTGAGGTCCACAATAAAATCTAAAAGTTTCGGCAAAATTCCGCCTTCCACAGACTCGAAGCTTTCTCGCAGCTGCAGCAGTAGCGCGAGACGACAACTTTAGATCCGCCTCGGATGAACGCATTTCTGGCGCGCTCTTTCAAATCACTCGCAGACGGTCGCTGGTTCACGATTGACAATTGACAATGTGTAGCATATCAGGAATCGGGAGAAGAATTCCCAGTTCCGACTCACTCATGATAATCTCTGCTCATTGAACCGAAGATACAATGACCCCGGCAGTGGTACTCGATTGCTCTCCGAAGACACGATCGTCACCTGTCAACCAGCCGGTACGGCCAGGATTCGCTCGAGCTCAGACTTACTCTGAACTGAGGCAGAACTTCATTTCCGCGTATGATGGAAAATTCTCCCCTTTCTGTCTACGATTACTTGTAATTCCTCTCATAGAGAGAAATTTCTGAGAATCTAGAATGAAGGATGGAGTTTTGCTTAGGCGTGCTTCCCGCTTGAAGTTGTCGTCTTCAAGCCTTTCAGTGCCTTTAGTGTTCGATGGTCCGCCCTTCCGTGAGCTACCCCATCTCCGGGAGATCCTCGGGTCGGAAGGCTCATCCCGATCATCATGTTCTCTGTGTCCCCGGGAAGCTGAATTGTTTTCCGCGAGGAACCTGATAACATCGAGTAGACGATGCGAAATTTTCGAGCATTCCGGGCCGAAAAAATCCAGATGCCCCATGATAGTGACTCGGGGAGCTCGGAGTATTCGATCAGAAAGAGTATGACTGATCTTCGAGAATCCAAATCATTCCCCCATGATACATATTTGAGCCTCCATCCCCTGCTCCTCGAGATTCGCATCTCTCCAGGGTTCTCCTCGAGTAGCGACGTCGACGTCCACTTATGGCGAACTCGCTCGACACTTCTGGGTTCATCATTATTTCTTTACGATCGATGGCTCGTCGTCAGAGATGAGCGTTCGCCAGTTTTCGGCCCAGTGGTGGCGAGGAAGCGTTTTCGAGGTCGCGTATGCTACGGCGATCTGACTGCACATATGTAGCACCTCCTCACTCCCTGTATCTACTTCGATGTACATAGACGGGTGGTGCTCCAGGTGGCATTAGCTACCGCAGCGATTTTCGATCAACGCGCCATCCAAGCGAATGCTCTATTTTGGGCAGCTCGCCACGCGGAGCCATTCCCGAATCGCGCTGCAAGCTCCGAGCCTCCCTGTCAATGGCTGTTATGTAGCGACCCGCGAAAAGTCTGCAGATCCGATGGAGAGCTCCTCCGATATCGTCGATCGATACGCGTCGCTCTGCATCGGACATCGCGCAACAGCCTCAAGCTCTTTGGGGAGCCTCCAAGGAAACACATTCCAGGGTCTTTCTCTTGAGATTTTCTCAATAGAGAAGATTCAAGGCCCCATGCATTCTTGGGAGACTTGGGGACCCATGAGAGACTTGTCATCCTCCCTGGGCTCCTCCGATGGAGAACTTCAGACTTCCGACGAGACCGTCTATGAAAGCGTCGAGTCTGCGGCAGTGTGCTGCGAGGTGGGGGGACCGGAGCGTCGGTGCGTGGGGTATCGGCGAACTTTCAGTAGCAGGCCATTTGGGGTCTAGACGTCAGGACCTGAGAGACACCGGTCTTGGGCTACATTCGGGGAAAGCACGAGGCTCCACTCGTGAGAGATCGGGCTCAGATCATCGGAGCAAGCTCCGTAGAAATATCGGATAGTCGTGTCGACTCCTTACCTTAGGGCGTTCACGGCGATGATATCCTGGAGTGAGTTCGACATCCTCAGTCCAAGCGTATTCGATAGTGAGGCCTCTCGAGCAGAGGAATCAATTCAGGGCCACGCAATGCAGGACGAACCGCTCCCGCACTTGAGACTGTTTTGGGTCGGGAGCCGGGGGAGAAGTTGTTTTACTCTGATGTATAGCGCCTCCACCGTTGCACCGTGGGAACTTCTGGGTTTGCCCTGCCTAGTCCCCAACCCCTAAACGTCATCGATCATGCAGTCGCCACCTCTCCAGAGCCTACAAGCCCGTCGATCGATGTTCTCCGGGAGATTTTTCCCGGCAACGTGGACCTCGGTTGAGCGTTTGACATATGTCTGACAGGCGCCTCATTATTATCGAGTTATTATCCGATTTTCAGAGCTTTCCGCTTAGAAGCTCGCATCTCGGTGGACCTGTCTAGATCACTTTTCATCTGCGGTCACCGCCGCTGGTGTCGTTGTCAGAAGAGACCGACACCGTGTTCGCCTCAGACTCGTGTCTCCGGAGAAATCATACCACACGTATAAATAGAATGAGCACTCTGATAAGGAGCCAAGTATTCAAAGAATAATCGTTGGTTCAGTCAATTCTCCTACAGCAGCTCATTCGCCTCCGGAGTTCCGGAGAAGCCGAAAGCAATTCTTGCTTCAGAAGAGCCAATGTTTCGCTGCTCCTCGGAAAAACGCGATAGCGAGTTCGTGTGCTCGGATATGGGGAAGTGGATCCCAAGAACAGAACGAGTGTCTTCGGGTGGTCTCCGAGCAGAAGAACTGGAAAGCTCCCGACAAGCTCCAGCCAGGAGCAGAACGGGAAGTTCATGTTTCCCGATAACGATCGACCGCAGCCAGAAATGAGCTCGGAGAAAGCAGGCGGTAGTCAATCATGGCCTAGAAGATAGAGGAGTTCACTTGTTTGAAGAAGCTCTGTCTGCAGTTCCGCGTAATATGTTGACGATGGGGTTCGAAACCGCAGAATCTCGCGGAACCCCGAAGGCGGCTCCGAGACCCAGCGAGCATAATCGAGCGAATCATCGATTGACCGAGAAACGAACGGCTCGGTTCTCTGGTCCGTAAGCGATTGTTTCCACGACCTGGGGAGATTTGACGGGCGATGATTAGGGCAGAGCGATATTCGGAACGGTCGCGAATGACACACTCTCTGCTGCCAGATCTATGAGTGTGCCGCTCGCTTTGAGCTAACAGGTTCACTTGATTCTGTGTAAGTTCCATCCCCAGTTCGTCATGATCGACCAAGCAGCGACCACATGCCAATCAACCGACTGGGTGTGGTTTCTTGAATGCTGTCGAAGCTTGCGATGGAGGAGGGGCAGGCTTTCTGTCTACTCTCGAAGGCAGCGAAGTTTGGCGAATATGACGATATTCAGCCGGCTCAAAGGATAAAGGCATTCGCTTGCCCCGGGACATCATAAGACTCTCTCGCCTCCGGCAAAAGCGGGAGTCCATTTTTATTCCCTACATGATAACTTCTATATAAGCGCAGCCGTTCGAATCTCCGTAGATCCGACGACTTTCCCTTTCATCAGGAACCGTCTCTGCCGCTTCGGTCGAGGTTTTTCAGAATCCCTCGGTTTCAATGGATCAATGCTCGGGGGAGCCGCGCTGATTCCCCGGTCATCATTGTACGAAGAGAGCCCCGTCTTGCGAGTTCCTTCCGGCCGTGACGTCTCTCGATTCACGGCGCGGAGTTCACGAGCTCCACGGCTGATCAGCACATGAAGCACAGGGCGCGCTGACCCGACGTCGAAACTGCAATATACGTACGTGGACACATACATATGCTTGAATCCTCGTTTTATTGGCTCTCTGCGGTCAACTGACTATTCCACCAACACTGCATATCTGGACGACTCTTCTTTCGAACGAGGAAGGGTTGTAGCCGAGGGCGGTCAGAAAGCTCCGGACCACCGACTGGATGTCACTCGGAATCGGCGACTCGTTCAACTCGGAATCACTTCCCAAAGACTCTTGAGCGTGTAACCATCTTTGAGAGCTTCTATGGCGAGTCCTAAGTCCTCGGAATAGACAACCTGTCGATCTTCTTCTTGACCTCCATCAGCATAGTAAGCCGCTAGGAGATCTGGTGGAGTGTCCTGTTGCGAAACTTCCTCATCCTCGATCAACGTCGGCATCCCGACCCCATCTGCAACACCGAAAAGACCTGGTCACATCCCACATCCCGGGCATCCCGGAAGGTCGAAGAGGATACACGACAATGAAGGAATCCATAATCGAGCTCATTAGGCTGGGCGTCAAAGTCGACACTCGATCCAGAGACCTCAATGTCGAGCCATGACTATTTTTCCCGCTCCCGCACTGAGAACTCCGGCGACCTACCGTCGTTCAGGAGGCCCAGAGTCGCCTTATGAGTGGCTTGTAGCGTGGTCTCATCGACGCCCCATATAGGTTTCTCTCTGTGGACTTTGCAAACGCTACGCAGTTCTTTCAGGACATCCTTCAACTTCTCGGGAGGATCGATTTTGAAACCTGGATTAAATGATGATTACGGTTTGTGCTTATCAATTACACGGTACTTTACGTACGCAATGCTAAATCACATCTATCCGCGACCGATCTTCCTTGGAAGTATCAGCGTTCGACGTGGATGATGACAGTAATAACGAAGACAAGAACAACAGCCGGCCCGAAAACCACCGCTGGAACCTCATCAGAAATTTGGAGCAAAACTGTTGCGGAAACAAGCGAGAACAGCTCATGGATAGAACAAGGCAGACATTTACCGAGAAGATAGCCACCGCTCCACTCTGTAGTTTCGATAACGAGAGCCGTTCCGAACTTGCTTTCTCTTGACCGAAGACTGGCCACCTGAAAGAACGGTTTCCGATCAGTGGAGCGGTATCTACGTGGATAGGGAGCGAAATGCCGAGGCTATGCGGGATCAAAGACAGATGTGGTCAGCTGTAAATAAGTCGCCGCCGAGACGGCAAACGTACGGCGCGCCGAAGACGGCGAAATGAAACCATACCTCGATCGTATCGGAAGGCTCACCTGGATATACGGTAACGACACATTGAAGTTTTCGTTCAGATTCGCATGCCACACAATCCTAACGGTTGTCACGTAAAACGTCCCGAGATTTCCTTGATCTGAGCTCAGGTTCCAAACGCCGTCGATCTTATTTATGATTCTTTCCAATTGCAATACCTGTAAAACGGTCACGTCCATTTCCGCAAGCCAAATTCTGTTTCTGTGCGGGATATTTCGTTGGAATGAGCATAATTCCCGTAATCCATGATCGACAAACTCGGGCTAATCCCATTCCTTCCTCACTGTCTCTCTATCCTCTCCCGGACGTGTTGTAGACTCAACCAACCTTCAGCGCTCGGTTCTGGATTATGGCCGATCGGAGCTTCAGCTCCCGGTAGAGTCTCGTTGCGTTGTAGGTTTTGTAAACGTTGAGTATCGAAGCTATCAATCTCGGTGTTCCCGAAACCAAATTCGTGAATATGAACTCGAACCTGTTGCGAGGAAAATCTCGGAACGTATAGTTCGCTGGTTTCCACGAGGACCCCAGCGATCGACGTCATCGGAGCAGCACATGGAACAATGAAGTCCGAAGTAAACTCACCGGGTGTTGTTTATCTTAGTCATCAGATATAGGGCCTCCGTCAGGCCTTTGAGAGCAGAATTCACTGATCTACTGGAGATTCCTGCAAGACAAAGATGCAGCGCATCAGGAGAAACTCAGGAAATGTCGTCGAGTTGCTCCCCCATGGTGATACGGGACATCTCTTCAATGAATGGGCTCGACTCCCGAGGCCTGATGAAAAAATCGCCACTGGGAGCACTCGGCGGACGTAAGCTTCGTCCATCCGGATCTTGACGAGCGAATTCAATCGCAATGGGGACGTCCGACTCTTCGGGTCGGAAGTCGGAACTTACAACTCATCGACCTGAGTTTTCGGCTGTGGGGAATAATGGGATTTTTTTCGGAGAGAAAAGTGCTCCGAAGTCTTTGCCGAATCGGATCCTCTCGTTGCAAGATCAATAATATTCACGCAGAGTGGTATTCAGCGAGAGGAGTCCGATGACCATCTATTGAGAGATCAGATTTTGAGCGTGCGTGTTTTCGCCTGCGGCCAGTGCGAAGGGAAAGACGACTCGTTGCTCGGCTTGAACGCCCGCTCGATCGGTCGGTCTGTCGAAACCTTTGATCGCACCATTCACTTCGAGGGTCGATCAGGTCCCCCATTTAATGACTCAATCTGGAAGCCGCTGACCAATCAGGGGTCAGATGCGGCACAAAAAGAATTAGAAAGAGAAAATACAATCGACTCCCACATTGTGAGGGGCCATGCAGCGATCGCAGCAGAATCGACTGCGTTCGATATATCATCAAGATCATACCCCGGCTTCGCTCTGAAGCGTGGTTTGCACAGAGACCCAAAATTCTGCTGTCATTCGACGACCATGAAAGCTCAGATCATGTCGACGTCTCCGATTCTCCATGAGTTCTATGAATAAGTCACCTACCTGTCACACAAGACCAGCCCACGGTGAGATTGACGCGAGGTTTAGCATGACTCTGCCATATGATTCGCATGTTCGTGATGAATAATTTCCCTCGGTCTCCCGCATTGCCTTTCGTGTCTTCCACCAGATCGAGCTTGTCCAACAAGATCTCCACCGGTCCAAACGCGAGCTCGCTGTTGATGAAGGAGGACTCATTACTGCCCGGAAGCTGGGAGTCAGCGACGAAAGTTCCCAGACTAGCAGCGCGTCCCAGAGCTTTCTGCTCGGACCCTCTGCTTCTCTGTGCGAGTACTTCCTCTTCCGGACGCCTTGCTGCCGTTGAGATGTATCGACTGCAGAATTATTTGTTCGCCCAGCAATCATTGTGGACAAACATCGACTGTGCAAGCAGCTGTTTTTTGGATGTTTCGGTCATCAAGCGGCGAGCCTCTCAAATATCTGGCAAGCACATGGGGCGCCGGAAGACTGCCCGACTTTTCCCCTACGCTACTGTGTGCAGACGCTCTGAAGGATAGTTGGATGTTTCCCTCGTCCGCTCGATCGATCGATCGCTCGCTCGCTACCTCCTACAGATGCGCCGTGTAGGGCGGCCGGCCGTCTACTGATACAGTCTCATCATCACTAAAGCAACAAATCTGAAGACGAGGATCCATGTTGCTGCGACAGATTTTTTTCTACTCCGCCTCGATCCCGAGTCGTCCCCGACGGGAAACGGCGGATCCGTCGCGTCGGTCGTTCACTCAATTTGACAGGTGAAAGCCGTCATCCGGATACCATTGTATTGGAGCCTCCAGGATCGGGATGAATGATTCGATAATTTTGACGCTTACAAATCAAGTGGTAGAACTCTTGCCCTCTCGCAAGGCTGCGTACCTGACTGACTGAGAAAACCCCTCTTGAATAGCTTCGCTGCGGGAAACTTCATTCCTTCCTCGTGACCCCTACGCGTGAAGAACTCTTACGTCGCTGAGTTTGTAAGTTGACATCGGTCTTCTGCGCGACAATTCTCCTGGAGTTTCGATCATCCGCAGATACGACAGTCGGTGACAGTTCTGGCAGCTCTTACTGCGAATGGTCATCGCTGACCGATAATTCTTTCAACGTGTCCGACTCAGCGGCTGGCCACAGATTCTCTTGAGGAATGTCAATCCTTCGTGTCAGCAATCGTAATTACTCTGACGACTGAAAGCCGTTCTCTCGACGAGACTCTAACGCTTCTGATTCTTTCTCCATCGTTTCCGATCGGTGTCTTGATTCTGCCTCGCAGAGATCTCTCCCTCTCACTCGTTTTCGGGCTCGCCAGCCGGTCGCAGTCACTGAAAGTTCCACGCACACCGCTCAGCTGAAATGGGCCACAATAATTTTTTCCTTCTTCTGGTAAAGTAAACTTGGCCCTGCCCAAAATTTACTCTTTCGAAGATACGTCAGTTCGTATTTTCTTCTGACCGGTCCGATGCCGGTCGTCCGTCGGTGCTTCAAGAAATCGTCCGCTTGTCGATGAATTGGACGAGGTGGAAAATAGCGGCACCAGTCGGTAAGCAGCCACGCGGCCCGGCCGGTAAGAACATCGCATCGCCACCACTGACTACAAACAGCAAAAAAAAAGAGCTGAGTCGATGAACAGCGTAATGATACAGCAAATATTTCTGCGATCTGCCGCTGACCAGCTCGTCTCTTCGATCGACCGACTCCTTGGTTTGTCGTCCGGTCGGTAGATGGCTCTTACCGGTCGTCCCGTGCTTGCGCGCAATTAGTCGGTCAGATGATAAAATACCAGAATAGGAACCTAACGTCTAGGAGTTACAGAGACAGTTCACACCTCCGGCGAACATTAGGTTTTTCATGCAGCTCCGACCGCGTTAATCGACTATACCGGCCAAGAACAACGATCTCGGGGGCTCCTTCAGAACAGGGATTGATGCCTCGACGACAATTCATCAGAGACACGATCGATACAACTGCTCCGATGGCCGAGCGATGAAGTTTCAGGTCTATCGGAGGCTCATCGCAGTCATCATGATGGTTGCCTGGCAGTTTACTCTCTCGAACAGACCATGTCCCGCAGAACAGTGAGCGAGCCTTACGGTAAGAATATTCCACGTGAATGAATGCGTTGAGAACTCGGTGGATTCCGAGAAAACGTCGAATAATCAGGTGAGACGTCATACCAACGGACTAGGTTGAGCGCGAAGTAATTTTTGGCGGAGCATCTCAAGCATTCCAAGGGCACACCTCCGATGATGGACGAAATAATCCGGGCACCTGACTCGAGGAGTGGCTCGCCCGCACTAGCCTCCGAGCTTCTAAGACGACAAGCGAGCTTCGATGAGAAGGTATAGGCCAGAATTTCTGACTATCGGACCTAGGGTACCGAGACGAATCATTCATTCTATGGGTCCCAGCCTTCTGATCGAAATGAAAGCTGATGAGAAGGGAAGATGGAGCATTCAGGCTCCCGTCCGCCAAGAAGTTCCTTCAACACTGCGGATCCCCAGAATTCTGTATTCTCAAATCTCACTGAGGGTGGGTCGGCATCCCTCCGATCAGAAGGAGTATCTTATATGAATAAATATTCAACCTCTATCGGACTCGGGAGGGGAGTCCGAGCCGAGAGTGAGAGCATTGATCTGGACGTGGGCAGCCGTGGAGACTGCTCGTCATCGAGCGGCAGCGAGAGCATGAAGAACGGAACGAGAGGGTTAAAGGCGGTATAACGAAAGAACGGGGAGGATGAGAAATCCTCAAGCATGAAGCGACGGTCTGATGAGACACGCTAAGTAAGAAACCCGCCAGTATCCGAGAGGGGGTTCTAAAGAAAAAAATACTGCACCTCTGAAGGATTTTCGACGTCACGAAGTATCGAGTCACGACCTGTCAGAAGCCACATCCTGTTTCTCCCTAAAGCTTTGAACCGGTTTTTTTTGCTCGGGCTCCTTTCGCTCGATTACTCCGGTACTGCTAGTACCGCTAGTCCATCGTGGCAGAGAACACTCCCAGAGCATTCCTTCCGAGGACGATTTTCGGAAACTCGATGAGAATTGAGACTGACCAGATTCTCTCCGGCAGAACGATGAGGACTAGCACAGGAAACGACGAAAGTCAGAGGAAGCTCTGAACCAAAAATCAACAATAGTGGCTGCATCACGTGCTAAGGTCGAGTGGTTTGTCGGTGTGTGGACTAATGTCGCCTCTTCCTCCCCGCCAGACTCACGGGTTGGTGATGTCGAACCGGATGTCCTTGTCCTGCCAGTAGGGGTCGGAGATCTCAGGCATTGCGTCGGGTTTCTGTTTGTTTACTCGAGTCAAGCTCCAAAATTTGATGAGCTGGGGTCGTGCGGAGCTCGAGAGCACTGTCCTCGAGGAACAGAACACCGCTGTTTATGTTGCAGTCGCTAGGGGCGACAAAGCCTGAGCCGCGCTGGAAATCGAATTGGTAGCATGCGTGCAGTCATTGGGAACCGCAGTGGCTCCGAACTTGGATTTCCGGCTCTAGCCTGGAATTCAGGAGATAAAGGCTGCAGCTATCAGTTGGGGGGAAAGGGGATATCATTAAGAGACCTGAATTTCTCATTTTGATCGAAGCTTCGAACATGTTTTTATTGAAACATTCTTCTCTCGGTCGTGGACGACAGTCGTCCGAACTACACTACTGAGATCTATTTCGAAACAAGATTCTCGTCCTCTGTCTCGTCCCAAATTCTCATCATCATCCGTCAGTTCCAGCATTTGGCGCCACTCATCCGCCACAAAATGCCACTTGTCAATGTACAGTTGGCTCCGTAAGCTCAATAATTGAAGTTGCCATGGTTCTCGTGACTCACCATGCGCACAATCAACTAGCCTCGTTCATGTTTATACAGAAGAACTTTCATGCACCATCACACGTAGCTTCCACTGAGATGTCTCTCCCTAATTCGACTCCCTCGAGTGGATCGTCCAAATTATTTCCGTTGTGACTACTTGTGGAAGAGCCTAGTTCACCTTCCGAGTAGACAACGATTGGCCTACATAGAAATCTGACAAAGGAACGATCAAACACACTATGTACATACGCGAGGATTGTTCTCCTGTCGAGTTTGAGCTAATAATCTACATTTTCACATCACAACATAAGTTCATACCATCACTAATTGTGAGCCATCAATGGACCATATTGCAGATCTCTTGTTCAATCTTGTCCCCCCGTCGACGATAGCGACAGGAGATGAGACCGGAACGATATAGGGTTCGGAGTCGATTTGACGATTCCGTCCGATGTCGAGAAATGACTGGTGGTATTCGAAATTCCGAAACTGGAATCGAGACCGTCTTCGAGACTCTGCCGCAGTTCACCGAAACTCGGAGTACTACCGCTGGATGATCTCCGTTCGTAGTGCGGGGCCGACGGTTCCATTGCGTTGGTCTGGGCCGCGATCGCAAGGGTCGCCTGATGAACTCTCTGGTAGATGGATTCGCTATGAGGTCCGTAAAATACGAACAGACCTTCGCCTGTAGCGCAATGTCTGCCGGCTTCAAACGTGAATTTCTCACTGTCGCTGCCGTATCTTCGTAGCGCCGTGAGAGGCCAAGCTGCCAGACGCTCGCGAGGTTCGTGCAGGCTGTACACATAGAGCTGTTCAGGGGCCACTTGTAGAAGACAGTCACCACAAGCGTCCAAAGTCGTCGTTGACACTAGAAACACTCGAAACGTATCGTTGAGAAGCTCCTTACGTAACGAGGACGCAACAACGTCGGGCGCTCCTCCGAGTGGACTTTCACGGATTTCCGACAATTGTCCAACTTCGTCCCGGATCGCTTTCACCCACGAGTCCGCGTCGTAATTCGATTCACAAGCGAACGTTTTGATGCGACCGCCTTGTTGCTGTCGTCGAATACGAGCGTCGCCCTTGTTGATGTTTAGTTGTTGAGGCGGCTGTTGTTGTTGTTGCTGCTGTGGGTCGTCCGTGTTAAGTTTCTCCGAATTACTCGTCTGGAAGCAGACGGAAAACGAGAACTTTCGTATCGAGGTCGGAAGCCTCGAGACGGATATGCAGCCGCCGTTCGAGCTCGATTCGAGGAGATAGACCTTCGATTTTTGTAGCTCCCGAGGTAGCCTCGATGCCGACCGCTGTCGATGTCAGTGCTGTATTTTCGCCAATCGGTTTCTGAGGAATAGCTCTCCAGCCTCGCGGGACCCATGTTCGGGCACTTCCGGAGCACCAGCCATCTTTTCTGCCAGACCCCGCCGAGCTTACGACTCCGCTGACGAACGTAGCCTTGTTTTACAACACCGAAGTCGCTCATGATCAGAATGGGTTTAGAGCACTATGGTGCGCTTAGAACCGAGCGGGACCGGGGAGTCGTCCACCGGAATATGATCGAATGGATCTAGCAGAGTTTCGCGCGTAGCGTCATGATGAGCATCATAATGACTGAGTTGGCTTGGTCCTTTGAGGGAATAGCGGCGGCGGTGGCGGCGATCCGTCGGCGATTTCGGTCGCGCCAAAGGAGAATGAAACGACTCGCGAAAAATATGAAGCATAAAAAAAGTTAGGCGGAATGAGGTAGCCAGACGGAATGACCAATGCAAAGAAGCAAGCTAGCACGGCCCCCGGTAATTATAGAGAGGCGCAAGTGTGAAGTAGGCACTGTCTTCGAGAAAAGTAGGCACCCCTCAAGATTCGTGATCGGACGACCTGACGCACAAATGGGAGCAGCGATCGCCGGAGGCCCCCTGACTGACTGTCGGTGGGACGGACGGACGGACTGAGTGTCGGTGCGTCGGTCTGTACGTCCGTATTTCGGTCTATCTACGACGGCAGAAGAAGCGACGGCGGCAGTAACGTTGCTGCGCCGCGATCGAACACCGTCGTCCCGGCGAGCAGTACTGCCGTCTATTCCAGGGATCAGTGATCCTGCTGCCGGAAGATCATCCAATGATTAAACGAAGGGGCAATGCGGACGTTTTTCTCTTTAACACGGCTTGCCGATAGCTATGCGGTATCTCCCCTCGTCGTTGATTTGCTTTTCTTTTCCTCCTCGTCGATGCTTCCCGGGAGCAGAAATCCGGCTGTGTCGATCGGACTTCGGGTCACTGATTTGGTTCAAGCGCAGCACTTTTATTTCAGAACTCCGAAAATCAGAGCTATCTGAGATCCGTCGAATCTAGGCACTGATGATTGAATAATAATAATCCAGAGCGAGAAACTTTGTAGTTTCGGAAATCCGAAGAGGGGCACTGAAGCTTTAGGTCGCTCTCAGAGCTAGACCGTTCCTTGAGGTTATGCGGTTCCGAAAAAGCGATCGCGCGTCAGAGTCCACAGACTAGCACTCTATCCTCGAAACTCACAGAAACTGGTTTCACACGGGGCTACACACCCCACCGCGTTCGAGAGCACGGCGAACGGAGTTCTGATCGGAGTCAGCAGAAGCTTTCCCCGTTGAACTTTCGGGCCGCCATGTTTCTTCTCCCGTCCTATCTATCGCTTCGGTCCGAGCGACGTGTTATGTGTACCAGAAAGACGCCAACAAATGAACCGCTTTAGGGAAAGGAGGCTCCGTATGACGAGAGAGGCTGCTCCGGTTCCCACTAGGCGGCGCTCTTTACCACCACCACAATCCGCTTTCATCGTCGTCGTCAACGTCACACGAGAGAGAAAAAGGGGCTTTCTTCGACCGAGACACCGTTTTCGAATCACCATGTGAGCGATCGCGGCTCGATCGGTGGTTCTAAGAGTACGTGGGGATACGACGACGACGACCAGGGCAGGGGGGGTACTTGACGACGACGACGACGACCTGAAGAGAGAGAGAGAAATAGGGGGCGGCAGCCCCCGAGACGGCCAAGAATGTGTAGGTGTGTGCTTTTGTTGTCGTTTATGACAATTCAGAAACGGAGAAGCAGGCTTGCACAAAGAGAAAATCCTTGCACTTGCAAAAGGAATGCGCGCTCTACTCAGGCAACAACAATTGGCTGGGGAGCCGAACGTGGGAGACGACACAGGTGCCCTTGGCTTTCGATGTGACATTTCATGCGCGACAATCGGTCGTGATTCTCCGACAGCCATGACACGATACCAAGTTCGGTCTGAAGTTCGGCTAATTTCAGAGATTGGGAAAGAAACAGAAGGGCCGAATAAAGATGCCGTAAGGTCCTCCCGAGCGCGGGTCATCGTCGCAGGCATGTGCTCGTCAAGTCTCGAAACTCATGGGTATGCAACTAGCCAGCATATCATCGAATCGACATCTCGTATGCGACGCGGCATGCGACTTTCTATCGTGAGAGATTGTCGATCCGATACTTCTCGGCGGGCACATATCACCGCGCAACAAGTTTCTGCACGTGGCGCCGACATACGGGCCTTCCATGAGCCCGAATAGAGGGCGTATCTAAGGGCTCGCTGGCTGGCTAGCTACGATGGTGTCATCATCTACGTCGAGCTGACTCCGGTCTCTTCATGCGGAATGTATGTAGATCAGGGTTCACGCATTTCGTATTGTCGACGGCGTACTTTTTCGGGTCGTTCAAGTCGGCGAATAGCTCCTCTCGTGCTCCTCACGACCATCATCGCTGTCGTCGCGCGTAGTGATCATCGAGGCTCTGTGACCTGGAGCCAGACACCCCCAAGGCGCATGATTGCTGAATTATAAACACGAACCATTTGTATGCGTAGGAAACTTCTCAGAATTTCGTGATTGGTGTCCGGATGCACATCGAATGAGTTCATCTAAGAGATCACAGATGCGACCGCTCTGGAATCGGATTTCGCGGTTTCCTCCGGCAATCTCTTTGTCTGTCTGTAGGATTCCGTCAGCTGTCCAAGCCCAATTCTCGGTCGCACTCTCTTACTCCCGATCTCTCGAGCCCAGTAAACAAGAAGGGTGTTCGAGATCGTCAAACCGCATTCTTCGGGGTCGGCGCTGACTCGCGATCGGTCATGCTCGGGGACGGGTCAGCAGGACATCGGTCCAACTCGATCGTTCACCGGTATTCACACATGGTCGACGAGCCGCAACGCTCAACTTTTCCCGATTCTGATTCCCCGCTCTCGCCGAGAAAGTCAGAGCGCGTCTCGTCTCGTTTTCGGATAGCACTTCAACAAGAGAGTGAGTATCCTACTCGATAAATATAAGAGTAAGGAATCCACATGAAGGTTGAATTTCGGAAAATCTAAATGGGCGTATCCAATCCAGCGGATCCAGAATGGTCTGTCAGGTTCCCTGTGATTGGCTGATACAGGGATCCGGATTGATTTGTAGCTCATGAATCGGCGAAACCTCCCAATTCGCTGCGGAACCTTTCTTTCTGAGTGTATCTCTTGTGGACACTCATCTCCGTAGCCGCTGCTCTCGCCGGAACGAGATCGTGTTCTGAGAGAAGAGCATTGTGCCTGAAATGTCCGGAGCACACCCGTTTTGTGCGAGCAGCCCGAATGAGCTCGTCGTGAGTGTGTCTAATCCATTCTACAGACTCGATGGCATTTCTCCTCTGCTTGTGCCGGTTTCCTCTGCGTCTGCGCCGAAATCCCATTTTGGAGAACGCGTGCTGCAAGCTCGGGAATAATACAGAACCGCTTTATTTCGGTTGGAGGAAACCCTTGCCGTCATTCATTCGGCACCGAGCCAACCTGAATGTAGGCCTCCTCAGTCACCTGTTCGAGAGTCTCCGAAAATACTGAGGTAAAACCAGCGAGCCGTACTTCCTTTACAAATATGGTGGCAGGATGGATGCTCCGAACAAGCTTGCTCGAGATTCAGCTGTAATGAGATAGCTCAAGGCGTTCGACGACGTTCCATTGAGCGGCTCTCATGAAAAAGCTCTACAATGAGAAGAAAATTCGCTCGAGCGCAATGAGCATGGGAGCGCTCTGCATTCGAAAAAATAAATGATAGAAAAAAGAGATGCCACCATCCCGATAAACTCGGATCATCGTCGCGCATCGGAGGCGCTTCCGAGAAAGGAACAATCGAGGCACGAGTTGGACGCATGAGATCTGATGCTGATTTCATGGAGTGGGAATTGAGACCGGCTGGCGGCGTCGAGCTTCCCAACGCCGAATTCCGCTACATCTCGTCCCCTTGGTACCGTGTTCTAATTCGAGTTCTAGGACACGACATCTTCAGAGGGGCTTTCGCCCCAGATACGGCGGCCCTGAGGGAGGATTCGCTCTCTGAATCTGACCCGAATTCATGAAGCGTTCCGCTGACTGCTAAAACACCGTTCTGAGTTCACACACGATTTCTCCCGGAGCGGAAATCCCCGTTGCGCGATGCTATCCCTGGAAACTCTGCAGAACGGCCCGAAAGATTTCCTTCGCCTAATGATTCCTTCCGCTGGAGAATCTCGAATCTGACTCCGAACGGCAGAACTTGCACCGAAATGACGCCAATCCCAACCTCCCCGGTATCTCGACCATGCTTCGATGAGTTGGTGGCCAGACAAGCTCATATCAATGAGCAGACTAATTTACAGTGTCTCGTTGGACTCTGGCTGCGCGATCGTAGGCGGGTCGATTTCTCGATGTCTGTTCCATCACAGACTAGTACAATAAATCTGTTTGAGGAGCATAAGATGCCGACAAAGCATGCTTTCCTCGAACATCGTTTACAATGGCTCCAATTCAGAGTGCCTGTCCTAAATTTCTCACGCTCGACTGCTAGAATGTGAGGATCCAGACGAGAGCACTGGGAACATTAGCCTTGTTGTTATTGCTCTGTGAGTCAACACGGAGAGATGCTGGCAATCGTCTACGTCCAGTCCACGTACGTGCCCTTTCCCTGGAAACGCGAGAATGGGAATGAGTATCCCGACCTCCGCAGATGTAAGGTTTCATGAATCATAATAACTCTCGTAAACAAGACCTCGAGCGATCGCCTGTGAATCTGATCTCGATCAGAACTCGACTATTTCACTTTCCATCGTCGATAGCGATCGTATGATAAGCTCGATGATCAAGTCGATGTACCCCAATATATCGAGACCTGAGAACTTGACCGGCGGACTTCTCGACGTCATCTGTTGCGATTCCCCATCAGCGTGTACAGGCTGTGGAAATATGGAACTTCCTTCGATGTTTCGCGCTTTCCAAGCATTACCTTGAAGTCGATAGCAATACAAGCCAAATGTATTCGTCCATACGGCTGGCTTGAACCGCATATAGGTTCGTTGAACTCGGAATCCTGTTCAGCGTAAGAATCGACGAGATATGACTTTGACGCGTTGGCAATCACTGCCGAGTCTTGCACTCGAGAGAGGTTCCACCGGTCTCCCGCCAATATCTTTGAGATCAGAATTCCGACGATAGTGCCCTGGGGGATGCAGAGCTCGGGCCATGAATCTAGTTTCAGGGGGTCGAGGGTGCGACATAGTTTGAAGTTTCCGACGAGCACTGAAAGTGCGCGGAGAATGCCAGCGATTGATCAGGTGAAGTACAGGATTTCGCATCAGAGCTGCAGAATTTTCCCCTCGATAGGTTCCCGTGGAGCAGCTCGAGTAAGCATCGAGTGTCGACGGCTGATGCGACGCTTGGAATCGCCGCTCTGTCATTGCGACACCGTGCTCGGATCGAGAGCCGATTCTTGAGCGGCTCGACTCACGCCGGCTCGGAGTCAGAACTTGCAGGAGCGGAGTCGGCGATCGGGACCTAACCCGTGAAACCTGAATCTCTTCCGATGCCCCCGTCGATGGCTATTGGCTCAGACGATTCCGACGTTCCCTTCTTACTACCCGATTGATATCCCTCGTTTCTCCGCATTTTGAGATCAGAATTGTTTTTCTCTCTCATTCGGGATTGAGCGAGATTTGGAATTTTTGTTGTCAACAACATCTGCCGGGCTCTGGTACGAAAATCGATTGATCGGCTGATGCGAAGAGAAGTTCTGGAAGCCTCCCTAATGCAAGAGAGACTCCCCCTTCCCTCCGACAGGAAATCCCGGGGAACCTCTGGTCGAACATCTTGAGCCCCCTCTCCACCAATTCGGGGAGCAGCGCCAGAAGGGGAGAACCGACCTCAGGCCCGCTCCTGTATCGCTGGCCCTGCGGGCTTCTCATGTTGCGTAAATTCGCGAGACGCAGGGTTTGAGATCACAACCTGCCGCTTGGCTGGCGGCATCTCTCGCGCCTGCATACACCAGACACCAGACGAACCTCGAACCTCTTGTGAGGAAGTTTCGCAAAGGAAGGAATGCCGCTGCAGAATTGCGCACCGTGGCGGCCCACTGCGGAGATCTTGATCCGAGCCTCCGGAATATTCTCGTCAAGGAGGAACTTCTGCCGACCCTTTTCGCAGGTTATGGATTTTCCCAAGTGATAGATATCCCAATCGTGCCTACGTCCTCTATCCACAAGGGATGCGAGCATGTCACGGCTGCCATCATCCTCCGCGGAGATGATGGTCGCTCGTCGCCGAAAACAACCCCATGAGGGGTTTGAATCGGAAGCAGAGAAGCTGCGCTGCGGAAGGGGCCCCGAGCGCTAAAAGTAAAGAGGAATCCAGCCCTCTGAACCCTCCTCTAAACGATACCTTGCCGCTGCTGCGCGTTGCTCGATTAAGAGTCCCTCTCTAATATTATGGAAGCCGCGCTAGCCGCGTGGAGACTCGATATCATAGAAGCCGAGGCTAGTATTGGAATATTCTATCCGATCTATTTCTCTATTTGATCGATTCATGACACCACTCTCATTCCATAGTATACTAAGTTGAATATCCGGAGAGAACTGGTCTGCAAGTGAGGTACTTTATTTCCTGTCTCGTTTTCGAAACTGATCGTCAAAATAAATCGCGTTCGCCCTCCGCTGTATCTTTCGCATTCCACTTCGTCTGTTGCACAAACATCATTTGTCGCACAATTTTCGAGGATATGCAATTCATCAGAATGGGAATATTCAACAACAGGCTGCAAATCATCAAAATCGAGTACGGGAATCCTCTATCGAGGATCCTGTTCAGACGACGATTCCTCTCAGAGGCATTTCGATCCCAATTTCATCAGTATACATAATTTAGCGAATTGATTCGATATACCAGTGTTTCCGGGAAGGATATGAATATGAATTCACAACTCAAAGAACGATGGAACATATTTTCATGATCTCAACTTATATCCCGAATGATCGTTTCCATTTAACATCAATCGATATCGGTTACCTTCATTTTCCATCTATGATAATAATTAATTAGATTCATTATCGTCATTATGCCATAGTCTTAATTATATATTCTCCCTTCTCCGCTCAGTATATAATGGAATTATTCTACCGACTAAGTTCTTGTTGCTGCGAGATCGAGACCCCCGCGAGAAAATAGAAACGCATTATTCCATTCGAAGTGTGACAGCACAGAATCCATGGCGTCGACATGTGGAACTCTTCACGGGATTTGCCGTGAACAGGTAGAGTCAAGACAAGGTTGATGACAAGGTACTGATGAACAATTGAAGAGTCTCGAAGCCAAAAACTTCCGAGTTCTGATCTTCATTCGATGAGTTACTCCAGAATCCTAAGTCTCGAGTTTTCGAGATGTCTAAGATTTCGAATCGATTACGATAGGCTAACATAGCGATACGGATGTTCGATTCCCAAGTCCTCGAACTGAATACTCAGAGATAATTGCTTTCAGGATACAGTCGCTCGCCTGCTTTCGGTGAGTTAACGTCCGGCGCCAAGTTTCAAGTAAAAGCTCAAGTGGTCGCTCAGGGGTCCCGAGTCTCATTATAGAATATATATGTATTGGTGTAAAGTGTCCCTGGGGACTGGAAGACGTTGATTTATTTGTCAGTTTGGCCGAGATAGACCGCTGCTGACGGGCGTTCCCTCGGCTCCAATAGCGGATAATTCAAGTCGAGCCGACTTCATCTTGCCACGGAAATGTTCTCGAATCGATACTTCATGTGTACAAAATTTCCGGAGGCTGATCTGTGGTGCTGTCGAGACACGAGCCTTGGAGTTCATCGCGAAACCGTCTCGCTGATTTCATGCGACAGTATGTTTCGCACGGACTTCAGGCATCAAGATCTTCGAGCTTGAATTGAATAGGTCTATTGTAATACTCGCCGCTCGGAAACAGCCGCGCCAACAGTGTCGGTCATCGTATTGCAAGGAAGAGGCCAGTGGGTTGTTGGTTGGTTGTTTGGTTGCTTATCGCTCCTTCATCGCTGGCTATCTAGATCGTCAATATATATGAATGATAGGTTTCTAAGTATGCGCCAAATGGAACGGACGACTGGCTGACCTGGCAGCTGAGGAAAGACCTCTTCAGCTCGAAAGGCACAAGTTGAACGTTGTAACCAGTGTAGATAGAGGGTGTCCCGAAGGAATTTGTCTCGCTGCCGGCAGCAGACGTCCGTTAAAGAAATGATAACCGCACTATTGCACGTCTCGGTCTTTAGGTTCCGTACCATCCTAGTACAATCAATGTCAGTAGTACTAGTATCTCATGGCGTATCCTGTGTACCGTCCCGTCTTTGTTCTGATGCATTGCTGTGGGTTTTCGGAGTCCCGATTTCATTGTACAGAATTTTGGAACAATTGAGACACGGGATTTTCGTTTAGCGCCTTTCGTTCTCGATCGACTTCATTCTCCGGAGGAAGTCTGGGAAAGCACTCTCCTCTCAATCCCGCCTTCTTGACATGAGCTGTGGGATTTCCGCTGCGAGATCGTGTTCTCCTTCCGACACCGCAGTGCGGATGAGATCTGTTTCCACGGTGTATTCCTGTAGTTAGCGTCAAAAAAAAAGAAATAATTGATCACAAGAAACTTATGTGGTTCGTCTGGGCGAGAGACGGTCCGCAACCGTCCCCCCCACTCCAGCCAGTTGACTCTCTTCTCCATTTTGATGGTATCGTGTTCGTGCTCTCTCCGCGTGAGTTGAACAATAATTATTGACTTCGCTTGTTTGATTTGAGAGGATTGCCAGACGCGTAACTCGATTTAGGCGTCGCGTCGCGCCGAGTCAACTGAGAAAATCATTCGAAAGCTATGACTCCCACTTATTGATTTCGAAGAAGTTTTCGGTCAAGTTAGATTGTCGATCCGAAAAGAATTATTGCAGACGAGTCGGCCGCTGAGTCAACTTTGCACAATGATTGCTTTGACTATGATTATCCTCGTGGTCTCAGTCGTAATAGTCCGCCGAGAGTCGGAACAACAGAATTGAACTTTCTTTGGATCCTCCGGACGTATTTCTCCTGCGGAAGGATGAGACATCGCTCAATCCTGCCTTCAGGTCAGAATTCACGGAGTGGTATCAAACACTTCGGAAAACAGAGGGCATTCTGCGAGCAATACTTGTTGGCTCAAAATCGAGCCCTTCTGAAAGACCTGCTCTTAGCTCGGAAAATGATCACTGGTATCGTGCAGATTGTTCATCGAATCATCGATTGTAAGACCAAGAAAAACTAGATAATACGGACCTCATGCGAGGGTGGATCATGGACGTCAGTCTTGATCCAACGATCAATAGACAGAAACATCGCCGGCCCCTCCTTCCGATGGGCTGATTGTTTGCAAGGGTGCACAAAGCATGATTGAATGGTTCGTTGACCATTGATGAGGATCATTGATTGTTTGAAGTGTTGGATGATTGATTGCACTGGCGGTGGAAAATGGATCACACAGGCAATGAAAGATCAATCATCTAGGTTGTGATCCGATCGATCGATTGATTGACCCTTCGGATTGATCGAGTCGGACAATCAATCGATCGGTTGGCAGGTCGCAGGAGATGACGCATTGCGACATAAGTTCGAGAGCTCCACTCTGATGGGCCAGCTGAATGCTTGTCGATAAGGCCCTCGGAGCAATGCGGATAATCGGAGCTCGATTTCGATTGATCGAAAGGGCCCATTTTCATCATTTGATTTGATAAATCATCTCTTGCGAAAAATAGGCGAGTGTGCCGAGAGTTGTACGGATCGTTGAAAAGATGATTCGATTCGGGAGAAAGAGGGAGAATGTTGTGCCCAGATGGGTAAGACGGGTGATGCACTCGTTGCTTGTTGAGTTCGCGCTTTCCTCTCTTCGACGGGTGTTGTTCTCTGAACGGCTTCTCAATTTTGTCCTGCTACCGCCACAGTCTGCATTCTACAACTTTGCTCTGTACACTTTCTTCGGCACGCTATAATTTCGAGAATTCAATTGCAGCCAATGATCATCATGGGAGATATTGCCTCGGTCTACGATATGTCTCTTCGTCGTCTCACGTCGTCGGAGTCGAGGGAAGTCGTCAACAGAACCCGTGAGTTCTGCTGTGGCGAATTCCGACGTCCAGCACCAGTTGCTTACTCTGGACTTCCGAGCGCCGTCGGCGTGCAGACGTCGCCAGTTCCGGTAATCAGAGCTTCGGAAATCAGAGCCGCATCGCCACCGCTGGAAAAAAATCTCCGTAGGATTTTCCCTAAGGAGTTCCCATTTGCGTAATCATTTATCTTGATTGGATTGGATGCAGTATTCCTGCAGAATGACTCACGTTTTCTGCTTCAGGAATTCGAAAACCATTTCTCGATGCGAAGTGCGCATATGTCTAATCAGGGTGGCTTCTTTCGCGAATTTCTTCTGACAATGTCCACAGGTCAGAGGCCGAATTTGCAAATGGATCGAACGCAGGTGGCGATTCAGGTCTCCTTTTTGGGAAAATCCCTTCTGGCAATGGGGACAGCCAAAAGGTTTCTCTTTGTTGTGGAAGCGCTGGTGAGTCACCAAGTCGGAGTGACGAATGTAGCTGAGGAACATGGCCAGGCATTAGACGCGGCGTGAAGGAGGGACGGAAGTATTTTGTATGAATCGTGGGGACCGATTCCCTCATATAGTCATGTGGGAGAACCCCTGTCGAAGTTCCATGCCCCTCTCGTCCCCGTCGAAGGGGCTCCTCGTGGTCAGAATAGGCACTCTCGATTCGAAATCATCCGATCCCCCAATGATTCCGTGCGACCTAGGATTCAGATGCGATTTCCGAGTAGGATGACGATTTCATCGAGCTCGCTCGAAGATAGGGTCTCAGTTTCACAAGCCATGGACGATGTCGAGCAGAAGCATATCGGAGCTGACGAGCGTGTGTTCCTCCCGTAGCATTTTGATCCGTATCGTGCTGTCGTCTACTCTCTTAGCAGCGATCTCAGGCCCTTCGACGCCCTCCTCGGTCTCACAGTGAAATTGAATTCAAGATAGCGATGCATGTAATCGGGGCCACAAGAATCCGAAACTCAACCCCGCGGGAGCACACTTCACCTCTCGCTTCTAGACCCGCTCACGGATCACGGTCCGCGCGAATCATTAGTTTCCCTAACGGAACTCACCCTTTTCCACAGAGATTACAACGGTGAGGTTCCGTTCCGGAGTGAATATGTAGGTGCCTGGTGAGATCGCACCTCTGAATGAAGCTTTTGCCGCATTCTACGCAGTGGAACCGCTCGTCTTCTTCGGAACGAACGGTATGAGTCTTCTGGTGTCGTGTATAGTTGCCTGCGGGACGTAGACTCGCTTTTAATTCAAGATATCCCGAGTTCTATGCGGGGATCCTCTGTCTGATCTGCGTACCCAGGTAGCACCCGTACGCAAAGAATGCCGGCTCGGGTTTCTCAGTCTCCAAGTACAGTGTAACCTCGTCGGAACGAGCACGCTGGCTCCAGCAAAACGATTCGTTGAAATGGATGTATGGTGTAGCGAACTTCATCGATTATTAGTTTTCCGGTAAACCGACCAAAATATCCAACACGAATCGCAGGGTTTAGCGAGAGTTCGTTCTAACGCGGCTCGTTGTAGAGAGACCGGAAATCTATCAGTATCTAATCTGAAGCATCGCCAAGTCGGGGGAATGGATTGACGTGACCTCCGTTCCGTCAGATACTCCGATGGAAATTCTGACAACCGCTATGATTGACGAGAAAAGAGCTCGGAATATTGGGATCCCCACGGCATTCAAAGCTCGCGGAGAACGTACAATGGTATTCGTACCCCCAGCGGAGCGTTAGGCGACGAGCGTATCCTCATTGGCTGTCTACGCTCACTCGAATGATAATTCCTCACTTACCCAGCCTGCTGAATTTAGACGAGCAGAGTTTGCACTGGAACGGTCTTTGGGACTTCTTGTCCTGGTGGCCGGTGAGCCCGCTCGGTAGGCTGAGGCCCTGGCTAAGGAGGGAGATGCCGCTCAACGTGAGTCCGTTCAGTCCTAGAGTCGCCTGACCCAGACCTCCATCGGAACCCACGCCGCGTATGCTCACCTCCTTCATTGAGCCTGCGGACCCCTCCTGCACGATCTGTAAGGGTTCAAATTGCAGGAATTCTAACTCGATTGCAACATCACGCAGGTCTTGGGAGGTTCGGAGCCTGGCGAGGTAAACCATCACGATTTGCGCGTACGCGAGTCTCGGTCCCACAACAAACCTGCAGCTTCATGGTGGGCGTCTCGGGTACGAGAAGAATGTTGCCCAAAAGAACCGGCTCCCCGGCCGAGGTCAGAATATTCGCACCGCTGAAGCTGACCACTCTGATTTTATTATCGGTGAGCTGCACTGAGGGTGCACTCGACACGACTTGGTCAGTGATGCTGGAAAGATCGGGGGTCGTCATAAGTTCGGGGTTCCTTGTCTTCGACGACAATCCCGAAGCTTGTCGAGCATCTAAAGGTTTTTTATGAGGGTGCACCATCAGCGAATCATCCCATGGACAAGGCGCAGAACTTACTTCAAAGTTGGAGGTGGAGCTGTAGAGGCAGAAATCGTGTTCTCCGAGTGAGTCGGCGACGTGGTCGAGGGCTCGAGCGTCGTGGAACTCACTTCGGCAACATCGGTCTGAGCCTCTGACGAACAGCTAACGGCTCCATCTTCACCGGTGCTTGTTGTTCCGATCAGGTTCGTGCTCGTGCAGTCAATATGCTGATGTTGTGGCTGTTGCTGCTGCTGGTGTTGTTGCTGCTGCTGATGATGTTGCTGCTGCTGTTGTTGCTGTTCGCATTTCAGGGCTGATTGTGGATGGTGAACGAAGTTGTCAAGCCGCTTTGATTTCTCAAGGTATAGCTGACCGTCGTTGAGGTATTCTGACGCGGCTCTCTCGTCGTCGTCGACTTCAACAACTTCTTCACCGTCTCGTTGAACCGTTCCTTGCTGAGCTTGGAGTTGCGCCAACAGAAGATCCTCCGTTTCGTATTCGGCGTTTGACGCGCCTGGAAGAAAAATCGATAAAGATCCACCTTGAGCTCAATGCCGTCGTCGATTTTTTGCATCTGGTTGTCGATTATAGAATAAAAGTAAGTTGCAATGGACATATCCGATCGGCGCGGAAGTGACACAAACCGGCGTTCTCATCTGCGTGCAGGGCGGAAAGATTTGCAAGGTTTTCTTGAAGGTTGGTCAGAGCGACGTCTTTGCTCGCTTCGTGCAGTAAGGGCGACGCGTCGAACGTATCCATGACGCTTACGTCAACATCGCCGCCGAAATCCGCACTCCCGTCTGCGGACGGTGAAGGCACGCACGATTCGGTCTTGATGAATTGGACGTCCTCGTTTAGAGCCAAGAAATCGATGACTTGATTTTCCTGTCGGAAAACCGAAACTAAGTCCTTGCATACTAGTTCGCTGAGACATTCCATTGTCTCTCGTTCCTGTGTGTTCACTGGTTCAGGCTCCCCCCAGAAGAACTGCACGGATATGGCTCTCGGGAACCTCCGAGCAAGGCTGAATCCCTCCTGAGAATCGAATGTTCAGCGAGCGGAGGATGTGACAACAAGATGGAAATGCAGAATCCAGAATGGAGCTACAAACGAGACCTTCAAGCACCGGACCTGTCCTCGAAGAGTAGGAGTGCCCTTACAGTTCGGAAACGGAGTTTCATCATAGCAGAGAGATAGAGGTTTGCGGAGTCGTAGAGTCAGCAGAGAGCGAGAAATATGACCAATCCTTAAGTCACATCCTCGTCAAGGAGCTCGGGGCTCGAGAGGGTCCTCGTCTGAACTGCAGCTCGAGTTCCGATTTCACAAGAGCATTATTATGTAACGAGAGCGCCGGTACCGTTCGACGAACCATGACAAGACACGTACGAGAAGGGAGTTTGTTTCTTCCCGAATCTCCTCGATACTCAATCGAAGCAGCCCTGCTCCTCATCGGAGGTGGGCCTCAGCTAATCCCTTAGATCGGACGCTGACCCCGGGCACCGATAACTTAGAATTCCAGTCGATTAACGAGTTATTCTCCTCACCTGAATCTTGTTCTCCTGGCCCGCCTTGACTAGCGCATTCGAGTTTAGCGCTAGACGCTGGAGTTGGTCTTCAGTTAAGGATAGATAGTGAACAGGTCCATCGGAGCTGGCGTTGAGTTGATGAACCAGGACGACTTGGCCCGGCATTTGAGATGAACAGCTCATTGTTTCGACATGTGCAAGCACCTCGTTTGTTTCAGCTCACTTAGGCCTAACGGGTCTCGGAAGTAAGGTATCACGATTGTCCTTTGGCTTGTTGAGAGCTTCTGCTTTTGCTGCTGTAGAGGCATTATTCGAAGGACTCACAAACTGGGGGAAACAACCGCGAACTGTTGACCGCCCGATCACGGTGGAGCTTCTTCCCCGAGCAGCAGCATCGTGACCTCCTATGCCCCACGAAACTCCCTCAGTGGGTTTCAGTTCTGAGCGCTGAGGGGCTAGCTAGTCTCTCTCCTCCGTGGACTCCTGCGTTGCAGGCTGTTTTGGAGGAGGACGTTCAGGAGAGGGTATGACTCATCCCGCTCATTGTGTCGTGTGACTCTCGCCTTCGCCTGGTCCTCTCAGCCTTACCCGCGTCACAACTACCCTCACCCACCCACCAACCCACCTCCCTACCTACCTACCAGTCTTGCCTCCCCCCTCCTTCCCTGAGCGCCCAAGTCTCCCCCTGAGCTCCCGAAGCTCCCTGGCAATCATCGGGCTCTTCCCAGGACCCGACGCTCTCGCCGAGTCGTCCGATGCCCCAAAAGGCTCTTCGAAGGCGGTGCCCCGAACAACCCCCAAACAACTGTCGACCCCAAGAACGTCCCCCAGCATAATGGAAAACCCTCCGAGCCTGCGATTCGCGGGGCAATCAGTAAAGTCTTGTTTGTGCCTCGCACGGCAGGGGAACGGGATTGAAACATCGGATGGCGCAATCCTTCGGGAACGGTCAACGTCCGGATGCGCGATTCTGCCCTTATTATTATTAACTCGGATGTCTAATTGAACGCCAATCCGGAAACCGTCCACAAGTAAGGGAGACCCGAGTCGGAAATTGACCGAATGGTTGAGGATGGCGAGATTCCCCCTCAGGGCACCAACCAGGGGTCCGTATTCGTATCGAACTCGATGAATCAATCTCTCGTGGAAAGGATCATCGCCCTGACTATTAGCTGCTTGACGGTACGTTGTAGTAGATGCACCGCGCCGCATCTAGGGTTCGGTAAATCTTGACTTGAATTCGAAACCCACTCCAAGAGGTGGAACGTGCCTATCCTCGTTGCCGTTCGCTAATTCGAGCTCCATTCGAGGCGCGGAACTTCCTTCCTAGCCCTGGATCCCTCCCAGTCTGAGCCCAGTCCCGGCGACAGGACGAATTCAAAGTCGTGGAGGGTCGGGAGGGACGTGAAATATTGACAAGTGTACCCCTCGAGAATTTTTCCCTTCGCGGCATTGTTTTCCGTCGTGAGGCCTCGACCGAGCGGTGAGAGGGAATAGTGAAAACGCCGTGCATGAACGGGTGATTGCAGGAGTTTATTTTTGAATTAAATACAGGTCATACTCATTGCGGTCGCGTGTACTTTATATGGTCTTGATCGTTTTCTCCATCCTAGTGCGGTGATAATGAATATTAATTTTTTATGATGATGATGATAGAGGTGATCTCCTCTATTACAATCCTCTAGCACTAGATTATTGTTGTGGGGCTCAACAGTCGAGGTACCGTAGTTTTTACTTCACCGGAGCTCGAACGCGCTTACAATCTAGGATCGCAGTCAATGTTCCGACCCGACTCGGTAAGAGCGAAAATTCATCGCACGTTTCGAACGGGCTCGTAGCTGGACAGATCAGCCGTGGACTTTGTGGAGATGGATGATTTTTTCCTCATATACCAATCCGCGAGGATTTCCGCGTGCGAAGCGCCTTACATTCCAATCGTTTCGTTCAACTTCGAAGGAGCTCCTCCCTCATAAGCTTGCTCTCCCAATCAATCACCACTGAAGCGGCTCGGAACAATCAGCTCGACCTCCCATTCGATTCAGTAATCGTAGGTGTTTTCTTCATGTCTTTATTGATATATATTAGATTGCATTATAAAGACTTCTAGATCGATGATTAATCGCGTCGCAATACACAATCAGTCCTGTGCGGTGATCATATAAGCAGGCTCGATCTACATCAGCTTGAAAGACGAAGATACTTCGGTTTCTGTGAAACTCTGTCCTTCATTAAATTGCGTTTTCAATAGGGACCACTTTCTCACGGAGAATACCGGGAAAGCGAGTCCTTCATCCACTTTTCCGCATAGCTCTGGATTGTCATGTCATTGCACTATTGCACTATCGGATCGCACTGCTCTCGCTGCGCACTTTTTCGCCCTCGGAAACGATGGGTATTATTGCTCAGTTCGACAGCAAATCAAAGAGAGTTTGGATCCAGGTATAGCCACTCTCACTCGGTCAAGCGGCCTGCACGTGTATAGCTTAAATAATAATAATGATCTAATATTATTACTTCGGGATAAGTGATACGAATGAAGAAAAATCATAATTATTATCAAGATATCATATTAAAAAGTATCCATACTCGAATAATGAAACTATGAAGAATGGTATGTTAACGGTGTGTGGATATACTCGAAGTGATCGAAGCATGACTAGGTAAAATGCCAGTATGGATCAGCATCTCAACAGCTTGTTCGTCGGTATCATCTGTTATACCTTAGGGTGATTAGGGTATTATTCGATTCGACTCAAGTGTTCAAATGCCAAAGACGAGGCAAGAAGCTTAATCGTCCTTAAAAGATGTCACGTAGCGTCGGAGCCGTGAGATCGTATGGTTCCTCAAAATTGTAGCCCCGCTGATAAACCAGGTTCAGTGAGGGCTGTAGCTCTGCTTCCGGGAATTTCTTCGAATAATGAATCGTCTGAGCACGCTGCTGAGATGCGATCGAACCAAATATTGCAATGCCCGCTCTTAGCTCTTGACTCGCATAAGAACTCTTGCACCAGAAAGACTTCGCACGCTTCCCGCGCCGCGAACGATCCTTGCAGGAAGCGTGACGATCATGAAATCCCGCCCAGCTCTAGTCTAAGATTTCATAATTGTTAGCTTCTCCATGATCGGCCATCTACTGTGTATAAGCGGATAAATGCTCTCGCAGATATAGCATCGGGACAACCGATTCCATGGTGGCGTTCCCTTTGTACCGCCGCTGGCTATTGATATCTTTGCCGTAGATAATAATGATAAGAAGATATGATCATGAGAGCACGGCTGCTTAAACTCAAATTGTGGTACAGGCACCGACGTTCGGGTCCGACGCTCGTGGACTTCAGGGATGATAAATATATGGGGGAACATGACGAGAACGGACTTCGTATTGTTCATATGTTTTTTCTGCAGTAGATGATTGATGTGAGCTCAGTTCAAGAGCTCGGCCGCTTGATTCTTCAGCGTCCCCGCTCGGGAGTTGCTTTCTCATCGATTTCCGGGCGGGACGGAATAATGGAGTTGATCTCGATTCGATGTTCTGGTTGATCGAGTCAGTCGCGGAAGAATTTGGAATAGACGTGATGGGTATATATTATGTAAGCTTTTTTTGCTTCCGTTTTCCAGCTCTCGAACTTAGCTTGCGCGTCTATGGTAGATATTGCACTCATTGAAATCATATACACCAGGCTGTACGGCGCAGGGGCGGGAAACTTCGGTGGATGGGCTCGGCGTTGTTCATTAGTCGGGATCAGACCCGGTGATGATTCTCGAAACGTCCTTCTCCTTTCGAATCTCCTTATCAGGGACTTTCTTCTTCTTTTTGCTCTCGCGAGCGCGCACAAAGTAAGCGCCACCACCGCCGCGCCGCCGACGCAGTGCCACCCCCTCCCCTCGCTTGAATCCATCTATCGACGACAACGAGAGAAACTAGCGGTCAGTAAGTCACGTTTCTAGGCGGCTGCGTAAAGGCACAGAGCAATTACAACAACGGGTGGTAGAAGGCGACCCCATTATTTGCACTGACGACGTTCAGATGGGATGGGGGACCGAAGGACGGCCGGTCGCTTGGATGGATGGATGGGCGGGAAAGGGGGGCGGGCACTAAGCAGCGAACAATTCGTTGGAAAGCACGTTCGATGCAACGATGACTGCTGCTGCTCCTGCTTCACTTAAATTCGGCTAGCTATTTTTTCTCGGACTACATCGGACCAAACTCAAGGCACTGTGCTTGGCGGGGACGGCGTCACCACAATTGATGAGGGCAGACTGTCGATAGGACCTCTGAGAGCACTGATTATTGCACGAGGAGGAGAGTTGGTTCCCGAATCTCCGGGAGGCGGTGAAACGATCCCCACGCGCATCAGATCGACATCAGGTGGCATTCGGGAATTGGCGGGCATATCGGCAGGAAGAGTTTCCGGATGCTTCCTATAGGAAATGAAAACGTGAAATGAACAAAAAAAGCGAACGGAAAGGAATCAAGGAATCAATTGAATAATAATCAAATAACCAGTCAAGAGAGCTCGTGTAAGAGGGACGGATATCGAGTCGAATATGACGAAAACCAAACTTTATCATCTCAAGACGAAGAAATCAGAGAAAAGAACGAAATATCAATCAACCGAGAGGGGGGATCGCCATCGGAGGGCGCGGCATCCACGAGGAGCTTCCGAGTCCGATCCATCTTCATCACCGGCGCACCGCGCTCGCGTGTCGAGATCGTACCACATTTGGGAAATGTTCTCTCGGTCGAACTTGCCTTCTGATGTGCCTCCACAGGTGATCCTTCCGGCTTACGGCAGCGTTGCAGAAATGACAAGTGAAGGTGGTTCTGAACGGCGAGTGGATGTTGGCAATGTGACGGTTCAGAGCGCTTCTCGAACCGACAACTACCGTGCAGTAGGCGCAAGGCCATGACGCTGGTGTGTTGTCTCCCAGCTGCTTGCTGACGGCCAACATCTGCAAACCTTGGGGAGTGGCTGGTGTCAGCGGACCTGTTGGGACTACGTCACCTGCAAGGGTCGCACAGAGAGGTTATGAGAGATCGTCTGTCATTATATCGCTCGTTGTTCACCTCTGGTCGAGGTGATTCCGGAGTTTAATCGGAAATCCTCAAACGCCCAAGCAAGAAAGTAGGTCAGAGTGCATGACGCCAGCGGTGGTGAAGAAGA